AAAGAGGCTGTGGAGAGCATGGTAAGATGTAGAGGAATGTGATTCCTGGCCAATGCGAGGCCCGGAACAGTGCACTCCCGCTGGGGACACGTCCCCAGGCAGTCTGTTTTTGTCAGGACACTCTGAATTGTCCATGCACCTATGTAAACATTGAGGATGGACACACACACACACACACTCACAGCACAGTGAGCAGAGTCACTGGACTGGAGAGACATTTCTCACTTCTTAAACTGTCCCTGAGTGCTTCTTTTAAAGAAATTCAAACACCATGTCTGCTCTTAAGCCTGTTTAAGACGATTCAACTGTAATGTACTCAACTTTACATCTGTAATTACAGGACACATGCAGTAATAAATAAAGTACTTTTGCATTAATCCAAACGTTCCCCCCTATACCCCAACAACACAGAACCTCTTTTTTTCATCAACTCACTCCAGCTCTTTCCAGAGCGACCCATGAATTCGTTGGTCTCTGCATTCCACAGGTATTTCTTCAAGTCGTCTATTTTCTGGTGGAGCGTCCTCTTGGGTATCGGCCTGCGCTTCCATCTCTCAAAGTTCAGGTCTTCCTGCTCTAGAGGCTGGTGCTCGGCCAACTCCTCCTGCTCTTCTTCCAGCTCTTGTCCATGTTTGAGTATCACTTTGTGAGGCTGGTGGAAAGAAGAAGAAGAGAAAAAGCCCTCACCACACATATTCTCAACTGCTAAGTTCTGCAGTCAGCCTATTTTCTTTTCAAATCACTGCAGGAAAAAAATGGCATGCCTTCTGATCCGAGTATGACCGATAATATAAACTGCCAGAGAGTGCACTGCATGTTAATGAACATCGCACTGATGGTCCTGTCCCCTGTTTCTGCAAATTATAAACCCGCTGGTGACCTTTCTGGCACTCGTTGGGAGAGCTGACCTCCTCTGAGTGGACCCTCCTGCTTGGAGCAGCAGCTGCAGACAGCAGAGCTGGAGGGTGACTCTGACAGCCAGATGTTACTCACTGACTCTCAGCATCCGCAGGCAAGGACACACAGATCCCAGAGGAGCCACAGGACACTTGTGAGTGTCACCGAAAAGTCACTTCATTTGTTAAAACTTGACCTTTAAAAGAATCTGCTGTTAAATGTTTAAAATTCTATTATGAGCTTTGAGTTTTGTGCAAAATTTAAACCTCTTGATTATTGTGTTAATGATAATGTTACTGTTAAAAAAAAAAAAGTCAGTGCTAGTGGAAAAGATGTCTTAATCTGCTTCAGTGAATAAAGTAATTAGAAAGTGATGTTTTCTGTTTAATGTCAGCACTTACAGGAGTGGATGGATTATTTTTAAGGAGCGTCTCTTCAGCTCCTCCCTCTGTGGAACTGGGCTCCATGTTCTTCACAGAAAGAAAAGGTACTTGTTAAACCCATCACACATACCCCACTGAATTAGAGCAACGCATCTTTACATCTGCTCACTTGTCAAGTTCGACAACAATCTCAATACTTTTCACAACAATGCCAAGCTATCTACGTAACTTAAACTTGACTCAGACACAAGAAATAACTCTTGTAGCTGAAACGAATAGAATTTCAATGAATAATCTGACATACCTGAAGTTTTCTTTTCAGTAAAAAACGATGATTAATATGTCGAAAAACCTCTTGACCCCTAGAGGAAAAAAAATAATATTTGTCAAAAAGTGTTTGGGGATTTCATTAGAAAGTTTTAGGCGTGCAGAGGGAACCGGGTTTGGAGAACCTCCTTCAACTAAGCGCGCATCATAGTGAATGAACGGTGGACAGAGAAAAACTGGGGGTGGGATGCAGAGTGCTTTTTTTTCTTTTTGGTCCCAGAGTCGTTTTGGCAGTGGCCTGGACCACAGCAGTGCATTCTGTACACGCACACCATCAGCCATTGTCTGCTAAGCTGGGCTAAGACTGAATCAAAGCCTGAATACAATATTTATAGCTTATCCCAACACAAGACTCTGTTGTCAATCATTGCCTGGCTGCATACTGTACGTGCACACAGACACTAGAACAATCAGGGGGGGTTTTCTCTATCTTTTATTATCTTTATTATTATTGATCGATTCATTTAACACGAAACAAAAGCATCATAAATTAAATATCAGTCATTCGGTATTGTCCCTGCACATGCATGCGTACTAAACCTGCTGCCAACGCCAGCACCCCCACAGTAACTACTTACCCCTGAGCTCTACTCCGGTGAAGTTCAACTAGTCCTCATCCTGGTCCTATCTGCACTCCGGTCACGTAACGCTCTGTTACCCCATGTAAAAGTGAGAGGGGGAACATCTGAGGGTGTTTTTTTTTTCTTCTTCTTTTACATGAAAAGAGAAATTGCGTCATGGAAAAAATCTGTTCTTTGAGATTTGCGCGGCAAAAAAACGTGCACGTTGTTTGTGTGTGCGCGTGTTGATGTGTGTATTTTACAGTTAAGGCCAATGATTGTTCTCATGATACAAAGACATTTGGAGAGAAGCAGAGATTCAGCAGGACATTTTGCAGGGAAAGCCCCTCCTGTGGAAGGCTTTCATTTCATGCACCTACAGAATCATGATTTACAAATACTTTTACAACTTTGCTGGAGCTAAAGATCTGTATTTGTACCTGCACGTGGGCTATATGAGCATTTAGGGCAGGCCTTTGGATCCATAGCCAAAATGACCTCTTGGGGGTCCCCAGGGCCGAAATGAGCTGCAGGGCCCCTACTAATTCGTCCTATTCTCTGTGAATGTGAAATTTGGTTACAGTTTCGATGTCTGGTAATTCAAATAAACATTAATTTGAGATTATGCAACATGTAAACACAGAACAGTTATAATGACAGTCTTCAAACTATATTTTGACACAGTGACCCTTTTCAAGATCAAGTTATAAGGCAAGACATGCTTTATAGCCCTTACCTCTATGGATATTTCAACGCTGTACAACGCTTTCACAAACGAGTTCAGATAAAGTAAGCTTGGAGTTGGGCCTGTGACAGTTTGCAGCTTTGCTCAGTTAGTTGTGCAGCCTTCCTGGGAGCAATGTGGGAAGAATGGATCTATTATTGTAAAGCACTTTGAGCATCATCTGTTGTATGAAAAGTACTCTATAAACAAAGTTTATTATTATCATTAATATTATTATTATTCTATGTATATGATGCACAGGATGCGCCCTACTTGCAGCCCACACAAAACACCGAGATGCCTCTATTAGTTCTGAACAGACTTTACATTTGCAAGTTCCACAAGAGTTTAATATTGAACTTTTACAAACTAAAGACACATGATGTCAGTTATGGGGGTAAATGTTTCTGTCAGATGAATGGGTCACGGTGTGCCCATGTTTTACACTGTAATTGCAACCACCCCTCAGAAAGCCTGCAGAATGTTTTTTCTGTGTATTTATTTATTCATTCCGTTAACTAAATTCAGTATTTTTAATGAATTACATCATATAATTAATTAAATATAAGATATATAATTATTATTATTATAAGCATAACTTAAGTACCCTACTTAAAGGTCTAAATTATTTCAAAGATGGAAAATTCACAGAAAACATATATATACACACACATACATATAAAGAAAAAAATATTAAAAAATGATAATTTAGGCAACATATTAGTGGCTAAATGAGATTAAGACACATCTTGGTTGATCCTCAGAGGAGAAATTTGGGTGTTGCAGGAGCACAGGACATAAATAATTACAGATAAATAGAGAGAGAAAGAAATCATTGAAATATGAAAATTAAAATAGAAATTAAAATAGAAACTATGCAAGTGCAATTAAATTACAAGGTAAGTAAGAGACATAATATACCCATGACCTGTGTTGTAAACTAATAGCAATAATAACTATTTATGTATTGTATGCTTATTTTAACACTTTGAATTTTGTGGTTGCTGTGAATTTTTCACCCTCATTTTTGCCTTGGATTTTTTCGTGTTATAATAATTATAAAGTGAAGTGAAGGCCGCAAACATATATAGTACAATATCAGCAACCAAACAAATCGCACGAGTTCCTATTTTTTGGGACAGGGAGAATTTTATATAAAAAGTCGTATTTAGGATTTCAAACCTGACGTCTCGTACTTGAAGGCAGCATATGTCATCTTGTTGAATCATGTATATGCTGCTCCCTGAATGCCCGGTAGCTCGTGAACGCACCGTTGTACTGTTGGCGGTTGGCGGCGCTCGATGCTCACAACTTTTACTTTCTCCTCAACCAGTGCAGCTGAGTAAAACCAGGATAAGTAGCTCCAGATCTATGTAACAAACACAGACAGCAGGATAAAACACATTAAACAGATCAAAACTGATTTAACTGACTCCATGTGATGTAAGGCAGGCTGTCACTCAAAGCTTTCGTCCCAGCTTTCTGGTGACCAGGGACCCGTTACAGATTACCGTTACTTTCCTATACCAGGGACGTGTTTTTTATTTTATTTTTTCTAACATTACTTGTATTTGCTATAAAATAAATACAAAGTGAAAATTTACAGGATTTGTTTAAAATCCCAAACCCATTTTTCTTTTTGAAGCTTGTAGTCATTCATCTTGTAACGTAAACCTGGAAGGTTAACCGTTAAAGTTACGACACTAGCCAATTATCCTAAAAATGGCGGAAGGTTTGTCTCTTGGTGAATTCATACACGTATTTTGAATTTTATCGACGGAGACGATAGTATTGGGTGAATAAAACTACATTGACGGTTCATCATCTGATCTGTAAATGTAGGTGCAGGTGAACAAAAACGACCGTTACGAGGTTTGTAACGGAAAGTAACGAACCTATTGGTGAAACGTTCACGTACATCGGGGAGAAATTGATAATTAGCTGAGTATCGTAGTATCGTTACACTGCTTTAAAACGAGTAACGTAAAGTAACGGGTTTTTGAGTGTGTTTGTGACATGCGCACAAACAGCCAGCAGCAGCAGCGACCAACTGTCCGACACCGACACATCGTGAGGACGGACACAGAGAAACGTGTCAACAGCCGCGGGGATGTGAATGAGACGGACTCGGGTTCAGCGGGGACGGAGGGCTGCTGTCAAAGAATGCCTCAGCAAACGAACGCACCGTCTGCATTAGCTCCTGATTGTAAACATTTAGCTTCCAAATATATAGCGTATAACATTTAGTCGTGACTGTTTTTTTTTTTATTTGCAAGAGGATCGTCCGGTGGACTACGTTAAACATCCTGAAGCCAGCATGCCTCCAGCTCAGAGCCTTCAATCGAGCGGACTGACTCTCTCAGAAACAAGCATGGGTAGGTGTGTGCAAGGTCAACGCCGTGTCTGCAGCAGCTTTTATCAATTGAATAATATACTCATTTTACTACACTGCAAGGGGTTTATCGAGCACCGAAAGCTTCTTTGAATAGCTAATACACACTAAGGTTAATATTTTGGCCGTTCACGTATCTTATTTATGTTGGTTGAAAACACGAGCAGCCCCTTTCCTCCTCACAAAAGCAGACAAAACACTCGTTGCATCACCAGACCGTGTTTTTTTCTGGCCCAGGCCGCAGCGCGTCACTGCAGGTGCGGCGACGTTGAGTAACCACAGCAGCCTGGATGTTTGGCTCTGGTAACTGGCTGACACAGATTTTCTGGCAGGATGCTCGGCTGATACCATAAAAATTAAAGGAGTAAAAATGGTCCATTCATGTGATGGAGAATATTTTTTGTACATATTAGTGTAACCTAAAACATGTCATTTTCACTAGATAGTAGTAGATTGTTGAACTCAACTATCTCTGGAAGATCATAGTCTACAGCTTTGCTATTGTGGCACAAATAGTGGGATCATCCATGTTAGTTTGCCCCAGACCTCTACACCTCTTATTTGTTGTAAGGCAGTGTTTGAGAAAGCTAAGTGGTCACCTCTTCAGGCATTGAAAAGGCTTTTAAAAAAAAAAGCACTGATTTTAGTTTTCTCAAACATTAAAGGCTGTAGGAGGTATTCAAATGTCTGAAATTGCACTCACAAATGACTTAAACAGGTTTTCTAGTTCATTATAGGCGGTAACATTAGTTACAAAATGTTTTTGTGTGCGATTTTAGCAAAAACTAGCTTGAAATCCCTGAATAATATTGCCACAGACCACTGAATTTATGTAAAATTCATATGTAAATTAGTTGTTTTTCAAGTTGGTAATCCATCCATTCTTTTATTCATCGATTTTCTATTGCTTATCCAGGTCCAGGTCAGATTTAATGGGAATTATTGTTATATACAGCTGGGAAGTACTGACTGAAATATGACAGACATGCCAGTAAATTCATGCACTTAAATAATGCAAGGCCTTATCACCTGTATTGGTTTTTATTTATATCTTTTATTCTTTGGCTGTGAAACAGGTATTACATTTCTTAAAGGTCTTAAAACGTATTGAATTGAACTTAGTGAACCCTGCGGAAACCCTGTTTTCAGAGCATCATTCAACTAGAGAGGGAGTGGTTAGTGGTGTAATCATACTTAAGTGATTATGTGACCCTGGCCATATGTAACTCTGTTACAGGGAGTAATACTGTGAGTAATGTTAAACAGACTTCTACGTGAGCAGTAGTCAAATAACAGTCCCTATACTTGACTGTATACTTCCGACTCCTACAGTAGTAATGTTTTCAAAGGAAGTCACATAATAAACAATCTAGCCATGCATGATTCTGAGTTACAAATCCCGTTTCCTGCAAAATTCCTACAAGGTAGAGCCGGGAGATAACGATAAAATCCAATGAATTAAGAATGTTTTACTTAAAACCTCTACTGAGGATCATATGATATATTAAATAGAAAATGACTGGCATTTCCATATGATATTTGACCTAATCTAGTAAAGATGAGGTCTGTGAGATTAAAACTGCAAGAATGTGATATGAAAACAGAGGCACTCATGATTCATTTCACTGATGCAAACCATCATCATTCATTGTTCCATTTAACTGTAATATAGCATTTGAGATCAGGAAAAAAGAAAACTGCATTTCAGTATTAAAATTAACCCAACCCCAGAGGAAATGTAGCCTCATCACATTATTATTGTTGTAATTTAACTCCCAGCTCTGTAAGATTGTACATATGTTTCTAGATGATTAATCTTACAGGCTTTGTTGTTCATTGTGTGAACACTGTGGTGACGAAATCTGACTGAGACCATATGTTTTATCCTCTCAGTGTAGTGACAGACACTGAAGTACTTTGCTCCTGAGTTATCTGACAGTTTCTTATTGATCTCCAGGTTGGAGCATCAGTAGTCAGCAGCAATGAAGTCTGTCTGTCTGTGGCTTCCAACTCCACGTATCCCACAGATTGATAAAAGAGAACATAGAGGTGATCTGTCATTCTATGATGAGATCTTTTCTGTCACACAATCAGAAGCAGGTGAAACTTTCTATATCACAGTTTGGTTTAGTGGAGTGACTACTGCTGGAACAACAGAGAAAATAGTTAACACTGCATCTAAAATTACTGGCCACTCCCGCCAGCCTCTCTCTTCAATTTTTAAAGTTTGACGTCAGCAGAAGGCCCTGAATATTGTTAGAGATGACTCTCATGCAGCAGCTCCTCTCTTTGAGGAGATGAATGACCTCTGAGAGGAGATTCAGACAAATCTGTTTTAAATCTGAGCAGTTTAAAAGAAGCACAATCCCAGAGGCTACTCGACTCTTACATGGTAAACCTTTGGCTCTTCAAGGTACATTTTATTTTTAGTTCATGGTTGTCTTATTAAATTATTTATGGTATTTTTTTTAACATTTTTAGGTTATCTGACTTCTGAATTGCAAAGCTCTCTGTTGTTCTTCTGAACAGAACAACACACAGCAGAAGCGTCATGCTTACACCACAGGTACACCAGATGGAGGAAGTCAGCTGATTAGACTTTGGTGTGCCTCGCTGCATACATTTGCATATTAATGAGAGAACACTGATTCCCGAGAAATTGCTGTGAGTCCTTTACACTTGAGCTAACAAGTTCACGTTGATACCAGATATGTAGCAAAGACAAACATGTTGGTATGAAAGATCTTTGCTAATTAATGACTTAATTGGCCTAATTAGGATGAAACTGACTTGTGAACACAATAACTCAACAATAATAATACGCCTTGCTGCGTAAATTTGCGCATTAATGAGGTAAAACTAATTTTTTAATTTCTTGTTAGAATTACTGATGACATACTACTAATTATAGGAGCATACAGGCATGGAGATCATGGTGGGACATATGCACATAGTAGATATGACAGCAGAAAGCTGACTGGGTATGAGGGGCATTGTGATTATATGATCAGTGTTTTAAAGCTCAGAGATGATTATTTTTTTACTGTTAAATCTGCTTCTTTCACATGCTTCCAGGTAAAAAAAAACAAACATTTTCATTGGAAATGGCAGTAAATTATAGACTCAAATAGACCTTTAGGGTTTTCTCATGTTACCAAACTGTGTGATTTAAGAAGAAAATAAAAATTAGTTTTATTTTGTTTACTGAAACAAGAGAAGCCAGGATTTTCTTCCATCATGAGAAACATGATAAGCTATTTGTCATTTTTAGAACAATCTAGTCATAAGAAATACTCAAGAAATGTGACTCTTTGTTTTGAGCGGTGCTGTGATCGTGGACGTTATTTCCCCTTTTGATACCTTACTCTTAGATGAAGCCACTGATGGCCAAAGGAACAGAGCCAGAGAGACTCCAGTCCCATCATTAGTCTTTAACTACTTCCCATGTTACATCACAGCTTGTGGTGAATCCCACAGTACAGCCGGTTACACAGTCTTAGTTCTTCAGGCTCTGAGCTTCAGCACTTAGTAATAAAGTAATGGTTGCTACAATAAAGTGCCGAGTTTCAGCTTTAGTTTAAGCAGCTTTAAATCAACATAGAAAGAACTATATGTGATGTATAACCTTTTTAGCACATAGTATCCAATGTTTAAAGGTCAGATACACATGAAGTCAAAACAAAATCACCATGTTTGATATTTTGTGTGAAGTCCTTTGCAGCATGTGACTCCCTGATGCTCTCCCCGGTCTTCACTGCAACCTCTTTCAGCTCTTGCTCGCTGAGTGGTCTCCGCCCTTTAGTCTGGTCTTCACCAGGTGGAGTGCATCTCAGTCAGACTGAGATCAGGTGGTTGACTCGGCCAGTCCAGGTTATTCCACCTCTTCACCCTGAACAGCTCTTTGGTCGCTTTAGCCGTATGTTGAGGATACTCCAATGAGTTTTGATGCGTGAGGCTGAATCTGAGCAGAGTGCGCCTGTATTCCTCTGCATTCATCCTGTTGCCTCCGTCAGCAGTGAAATCATCAATAAATGCCAGTGTACCAGCTCCATTGGCAGCCATATCTCTTTCCATCATTTTAATAGTGGTTGATTTTTGTTTAATCTCCCCATAGATCTTTGTTCCTCTACTTGTTTTTGTGTGTTTTTGTGAACTGCACCGGCCTCTGTTTTTGAATCCTTTGCCATGCTGGTCATGAAGTCCTCTCTTGATTGTTGAAAGAGAAACATGTCCGCCGGCGCCTACACCAATTTTTGACCTGCTGTCATAGAGGGATTTTTCATCACCATGGCGATGATTTTCTGCTCATCCATAAGTCTTGTGCTCCTCGCTCTCCCAGGCCTGATTTTGGCAAACCACGTACCTCTGATATAGGTACTGATATTATCTTCTTCACTTGTATGATCAGATCTTCTCTCCTCATATTGAGAGACAACTCCACTTCTATCTGAATGGCAACTCTCAGTCAACTCTGAGACTTGTGTGAGCTTTTTGTGTGTATGAACGAACGTGGAAACGACACACAGCTGCACATTTAGAAGCCAAGTCTCCAATTACTTATGAACTGTTGCAGTTCGGCATTATGTGTTAAAAGGGCTTTATCTTCCACACAGTCCCTTCAATATTGATTCAGAGCTCCTCAAATTAAAGATCAGACTTGGCACTTTGATCTAATATCCATTATTTTATTTAATATTGAACGTGCAGAAGCGCAGAGCCCGATTTGTCTAAATAGTTATGGTCTGGACTGTAGTTGTAGGCTCATCTTCTAGTCTTACATCACTTTACCGCCCATGTCACCGCGTGATACTCGCTGTAATGTTCTCTAATCTGCTCTCTTGTAGGTTCCTTTAAGAGGAGGAAGAGGAAATCCATAATAGTGACGGTGATGCTGCTCATCGTATCTGTGCTCATCCTCATCTTTGGCCTGGCAGCAACTACCAGGACGCAGAACATCACAGTGGGCGGCTACTACCCAGGAGTCATTGTGAGTGCACATTCACACCTACAGTTAGCAGCAGCAGCAGGCCTGCTCCCTGTCAGATTTCATTATAAGTGACGTGTGAGTGAAGTGTGAGTGTTTCCAGTGAGCTCTTCCCGCTCCTGGACTCTGATGAACATAATTACTGAAGGTCTCCGAGGGGTGAATTTTCCCCACATTCATTATTCAGCATCACTGTCATTAGAGGCTGAGTGAGGCAAAGCATCTCTCAGTCCATAAATTTGTTTCTTCACAGTACTCAGCTTTTAACATTCTGCCTCACATAAAGAGCTGCAGAGAAAGCAGCCAATGTAAAGATGCCTCTCACAACTTTAACCTTAAATTCATCACATTAATAGTTCAGATTATTATATTATATTATTATAGAAAGAAATAATATTAAAATGCTGCATAAGATTGAGAGAAACTGACAACAAACTCAAATCACATTAAATTAATCTTCAATGTATTTTACTCTCCTATAAAAGTGAATAGTTAATAATATTGTAAAGATGCTGAATGCTTCCCCAGAGCACGAGAGAAACACTTGAATCTTTGATTTATCTAACTGCACTATGAAATCAAAGCTCTACAGTCAAATTAGATAAATGCCCTAACAGCTATTTTCTCTCTCCTCAGCTGGGCTTTGGCTCTTTTCTGGGAATTATCGGTGCTCATTTGATAGAGAACAAGAGGCAGATGGTAAGAGGATTTATATTACCGCTGTGCATTGAGATCACTTTCAGTGCTCGGTGTCTCCTTGTCTCTACAGTCACAGAACACTGTTATTAAACTGTGCATGAGTCCCAATTACCTTTCAACATCCTCCAGCTTGATTATGTTGTTAAAGTGAAAATGTGAGCAGCAGAACTGACCCAGACTGCGAGTCCCGCTAAGCCTCAGGAGGTTTACGTTGTGTATCAGAGCAAGTATCCTGGGCTTGAGGGGAGATGCAGCCAGAAATAGAAATAGGGTGTAAGTGGAAGAGGGCGGATGTCCACACTGGAATGTCGAGAAGGAAACTGCAGATGAGAGGAGCAGGTGGGAGGTGCTGGGCAGGGACTGTCGGGGCTGAAATGAAGTATGAGTTTGTATCGTGACACCTTTTCCCATAATGGAGCAGAGTTGGGATGCCTGGAGTTGCAGTTGGTGTATGTGTGACACAAGTGAGTGAGCTATGGCACGTTACACCAGACGACCTCTGGTTTGTTGTTTCCCATAAAATGTGAACGTGTTGTTGTTATTATTTGTGGTTTGGGGTAATAGAGGCACATGATTTTTGTATCATTGCATTTTCAGGAGAGCTGAAATGATAAGTTGATCAATAGAAAATTAATTCAGCCTTCAACCATTTGGAGAATCAATTAGTAACTGCTTCCAACCACTTAAATGTGAATATGTACAGGTTTTGTGAATTCCACATTTTGTTGATGTAAATAGTCTTTCTTCAAATACAAATGCTCAGTGTCTGTTTGTTTCATGATCTCATAAGCAGAAAAATATTAGAGTAATTATGTCATTGTGTAGTACTTTTGAAACTCTATGCCCAGGGATTCATTTACCCAGGGATGCCCAATCTTTTGCAGACAACTGTATTTAGATCTTGGACTGTTGGTCCAAATGATCTCTATGAAAATGTGATGGATGTTTTTATGCCTCGACACCGTGACCAGAGGTTTTTGTTTTTGGCTTGTCCACATACCCATTCATGAATGTGATATCTGGTGGTCAAAGGTCAAAGATCACTATGACACATAAAGTGTGAGGTCACTCTGACCAACACAATTTTGCCATAACTCAAGAATTCATATGCTAGTTATGATAAAATACACTTAAATAGCTTTTTATTAAAGTCTTCACCACATATATATGTCTGCACAGACATGGATGTAAACAGTTTACATCCATATATATGATAATATACATCAATATATTTAAATTAGTTGTTTTACATCAAGATCCATACATTATTTCCTGAGAAACTGACCAACAAATGTCCTATCTCGCAATGTTAAGGGGAAAAGAAATTCCTGGATCTGCCCCTGCAGATGCATCCGCACCAACATTTAATGGGCTCTTCCCTGGCTCATGCCCCATCCCTCCACCAGGTTTGGTGCAAATCAGTTCACTACATTTTGTGTAATCCTGCTGACAAATAAACACTGGGGAAAACATAACCTCCTTGGCAGAGGTAATAATCAGCAGATGCATTCATATTGTCAAAGATTGTTAGTTGCAACCCAATTTTTTAGCGAGAAGAAGAATTTGCACATTGTTATACTTGGAAGTGGATGAAAGTAGCTGAATCATAATTGACATGAAACGTTATTGTGATTCAAGCGATAATCCTATCAGCAGAAATCAGCAGCAAACTGCAAGGAGAGCTTCCATTTCCACCTTTTCATGACCAGCAATCAAAGTGTGCACTGATGAAGACATATTTCTGACACTCGTAGGTGCTGTTTTTATCAAGTCTTTACTGCTGAACGCCACACTAAATTGTTTTTTTTTTTTCATGCGACGTATGACTTTGCTGGTCATTAAGTGTTTATCACTGTCATGTTTGAACATCTTGATGTTTAAAGCCCCTGAAAACATGGTTTCAAACCCTAAGAATTTCTCTATAACGTCAAATATCCAAGACAGCAGCCCCACAACAGACTTAAATTCAACTGTTGATAAATCCTGATTTATCAAGTGTTTCCACTTCAGACCAGTAACAGGACAGCCGACAGAAATACAGAAATCTTTCAATTGAAATAACTAAAACTGTTCTTAGTGTGGCAGAAGATACTGTTGATGGACGACCCCCATCGACCAGCCCAACTAACAGTTGGCATGTCCGTCAAACCTTTAACATGTGTTGCTGAGAACCCCCAGGGTCGGGTTGTTTTCATGTTACCAGCTGGACCGTGATCGCAGAAGTCTTGGCAAAGCCGTAGCTCAGTGATGAATCTGTTGCACTGCCTCACCCCTGTGAGCTGGGGTAGCTGCAGACTGGGTGGGGTGATGTGTAACTGAATACATGCTGATTCTCATTGAGGAGTTAAAGGAGGAGAATTAAGGGGTTGCAGTGCCTATAAAGAGCCGGGCACCGTGCCAGCCACGGGCCGCGGTGAAGCCACTGTAGGTGACAACCACCGCGCTCTGTCACTGTTGTCCTTTAACCCGGCCCACAACCCCCCCCTCCCCCTCCACACCCCCGCCCTCGTCCCATTCATATAATACACATTAGTGTTGCAGATGTAACCCAGTACAGTGGTGTGAGAGAGCAGTAAAAAAATACTCATAAAATAGTGCATGTTTACATTTAGTTTCTAGTCTCCTACAATAATAAAATCATTACATCATGATGAAGAGTGATGAAGCTGATGCTCCTCTGTTTTCTTTCACAGTTAGTGGCATCTATTGTCTTCATCAGTTTCGGAGTGGTGGCTGCCTTCTGCTGTGCTATTGTTGATGGAGTATTTGCTGCAAGGCACATTGTAAGTATCAATGAAGCTTCTACTTATTAAACTAAACTCATAAATTATGGATAAGGGTAACACTTATGCTCCCATTTATTAGAAGCTTATTAATCAATGCTATTTCCATTATAGCTTAATATACTCCGTCTGCATTACAAATATAGTAAACTGTATTCCCATCTGCAAGGGCAATGCTCACATATGGCAGCCTATAGCAGCCGCCACACCCTTCTCACAGAGACAGACATATTTTGTGGTAGAGATTATTCTCCATGACGCAAAGTACATAAAAGAATAAATAACCGCTAATGCACTCTTAAAACAATTATACCAAAATAAGTTAGGGCTGGGTGAAAAGGGAGATCAGCACCATTAGCAGGTTTTTTTTATTTGCCCGTTGTGTCGGTGAAATGGAAAATGGAAATTTTCCTCCCAAACAGTTTTTTGCACTCCACAGAGACAGACTGTTGAATGAAAGAGAAAGAGGAAAAGAAGTTGGTTGTGGGTTTTAAAGGACACGTTGTTAAACTTTCTCATCCCAACAATTGAAATTTAATGACCCATGTTCATGAATACAGAATTAACCATCTTAATATCCACATTAACAGTCATTCAGATTCTCAGATTTATAGCGAATGATGGCTGGAGGCGTTGTGTTTCCCATTCTCATGAACGCTATATCTCAGTAACGCCTCGAGGCAATTTCTTCAAATGTGGTACAAACATTCACTTGGACTCGAGGACGAACTAATTAGAATTTGGTGATTAAAGGTCAAAGTTTAAGGTGATCTCAGAAAACATGTTTTTGGCCATAACTCACTAATTTTGACACAATTTAACACAAATGTCTAATAGGATAAAAATGATGAAGTGATGACATTTTATATCCAAATGGTCAAAGGTCAACGTCACTGTGACATCATAAACAATAAACACTTAAGTTAGTGACTGAGTTTGCTAATGTACCAACTATAAGAGAAAACTTTGCACTGTTTTGCGAGCGTTAAAATGTCTTTGGAGAAAATATAGGTACTTATTATTGGAGCATTTTGAACTCTGCAAAGATAACCCACTGGTGGAACGAAACTTTTCAAGATTTGTAGCAACTTTTACTTACTTTTATTAAAATGAAGCTTTCTTTCATGTTTCTAGAAAAGCAGGGAAATGTGATTAAGTAGTTAAATTGTGAAGAAGTTGAACTCATTGCAGAGTGAAATTAGAAAATGCTTGTAAAATGTTGACTGTAAAATGTGTAGCATGTGGGGACAAGGAAATGTAGTTGAATATTTCCAAACTGTATTTTTTGAAAGAAGTGGAAGATTTTATATATAACAATAAACCATAAAACTTGGATGACCTGACCTCTGACCTCTCGTGAGTGCTTCAAAAGAAATAGGAAGCATAGAAAAAAAAGAAAATTCACATGTCAGAAATATATATAAAATTGATGTCTATCGCACTGCAGGACCTCAGGCCTCTGTATGCCGGCCGTTGTGAGTATCACTCCAGCGAGACAGCATCTGACCGTGATGTAAGAAACACATTTTTTTCTCTTCAAGTTCACAGAAATAAGAACATTTCCTCCTCAGCGTATATCTCCGACCTGTACCTTGTGTTTACTCATTAGTAGTTTTAGCCAGGACGTTGTTCAGGTGCTTAGCCAGCAGCAGACCCAAAGTGAAGGGACTGTAAACTCATTTTTGACCTTCAGGTGCCGTGTCAGACAATGTCGCGCTCGTCCTGTAACCTGCGCGTGAAGAGCAACACCTGTTACTGCTGCGACCTCTACAACTGCGGGAAGTGAGTATGCTGAGTGTTCGAGCACCTGACGAAGCTTCTGAATCAGTGGCTACTTGCTTTGGCTGTGTTGCTTTGATCGTTTGGATTTTTGATGTGTACTGCTGTGCCATTTTTGTGGGAGATTTTTCTTTCATTGCAGTGTTGAACGTATTAGAACAAGAATGTTTCTTTTCTTTTAACCTTTGTTTCAGAGAACATCCTCTTATGGGACTTCAGAATAAAGATGTTTTGAAAAAGTTTAGGAAATCATCCATGATTTGGAAGTAGGTCCCTTTTTTCTAGACCCATAATAGCCATTCATGATCAACTCTATATTTTTTTAAAAGTGTTTTTTAATATAACCCACAATAGAAATGTGTTCATAGGGTGCCATTTCCTCTGCATGTCCTGTTTGAGTCTGACCAAACATTCATCCATGTTGTCATCCGTGTTTCCCAGCCTGTAGCAGCATCTTCTCAGTAGCTTCTCCTCTCAGACTTAGACTGAAACCATCTGAACTTTTACAACCATATATCAAATCCTGTCTTTTGCCTTTTCACTTTCATTACCAAACGCTCAGAGCCTGTTATGGTGGTTGATGTACCTGCATTTAAAAAAAAACAAACTTGTCAGTGACGTTTGTGGCTTGACCGTAGGCTGTTTCCCTCTCTGTCCCACCCACTGGGCTAGCCGTGTAGAGGTGATTGGAGGCTACCATGAATACACTGATGTGAGGAGCTGCCAGGACGTGGTGCACCTCTATCACCTGCTGTGGTCCGCTACCATCCTCAACATTGTGGCCCTCTTCCTGGGCATCATTACGGCTGCAGTGCTGGGAGGCTTCAAGGACATGGTACGTCAAGTGAATGATACTTATATTCACCAATAAACACCACCGGATGGCTCGGCTTAAATTTTGTCAAATGTGTGAAAATTAGCCCGATGCTATTTTATGTTTAAGAAATGTAACGATGCATTTGTCAGTATTAGCTGATGTATAAGTGATTCACACAGCTCTATGTGTGTGTGTTGATAGATACTAAATAATACTTCTTTGTCAGACTCCCTCTCCTGCATCGGAGAGTTCATCTGAACCAGAGGCCATCACAGCCCCCGTCCCCTCAGAGCCTCCTCCACCCACCACTTCTCTCAACTCCTATTACAACACTGCCCCCTGCCTGCCGCCATACACTGCCTACGACCTGCAGGTACAGTGCTGCGTGATGTGCATAGACTGAGAATTTGTTCTGCATCAAAACAAGTATTCATTTATTATTGGCATTTGTTTTATCAGTGACGTCCAGCTCAGATGACGGCTTTCATCCAAAAATGTGAAATTAATCAGGCAATATTAGGATTATAATGTCAGTTTTAACCCAGAATTAGTGTAGTGTTTTAATAAAGGAGTCAGTGGTCAGTCCTTACATCTTCTGTTATCTGTTAGTATTCTTCTGTCACTGTCAAACAGGGAAATGGGCTCTTACCCAGCTGGTTTCCTGAGGTCTGTCGGTGAGGTGCTAACCACTGGCCCAGATACCCAACATATGCCCCATTCCTTGGCTTGATTCTGCCCACATACTTTCATCCGGCTCTTATTGCAGATGTGGAAGTAGCATCTGACAGTCATGCTGTGTATGGGCCAGATTCCCCCTTATACTGGGCCAGAAGAAACACAAGCATGTGGCCCAAGTATGGGCAAGGGTTTGTTTATCTCTCTGGAGGACCACCGTGCAGCCCTGTGGCATACAGCTGTTAATGGTGGAAGCTGCTGAGCCGCTGAGATGTGGGAGTCTCCCTCTCCCACCTCTCCTTGTTTTTCTTCCTCAAACAGAGGATGTGGTGGATACTTTTCCAGGACGAGGTCACTGTGACCGCACAAAACATATTTTTGGCCTCCTGAATGTGATATCTCTCGACCGCTTTGAGGAAATTCACTTGGACTCAAAGATGAAGTGATGATACTGTGGCGCTATGATATGAACTGTGAGTGCGATACGCAGCAATAATAATAACACATTTTGTTATGTTGCAGCCTTATACTGAATTTCAAAATCATTTCGTCACTCATCAGTCCACACTTCATACCCCATAATGACAAATTGAAAACAGAATTTTTGAATTTTTTCCAAATTATTTAGAAGGAAAAACCGAAATATCACATCGACAAACGTATTCAGACTTTGCTACAGCACTCGAAATTCAGCTCAGGTGCCTCCCATTTCTCTTGATCATCTTTGCGATGTTTCTACACCTTGATTAGAGTCCACCTGTGATAAAATCAGCTGATTGGACATGATGCGGAAAGGCACACACCTGTTAATATTAAGTCTCACAGCTGACAATGCGTATCAGAGCAAAAACCAAGCCATGAAGAGGAAGGAACTGCAGAGCTCGGAGACAGGATTGTGTCGAGGCACAGATCTGAGGAAGGCTACAAAAACAACTCTGTCATATTGAAGGTTCCCAAGAGCACAGTGACCTCCATAATCCTTAAATGGAAGACGTCTGGAACAACCGGGACTCCTAGAGCTGGCCGCCCAGCCAAACTGAGCAACCCAGGGTGAAGGGTCTTGGTAAGAGAGGTGACCAAGAACCTGATGGTCACTCTGAGATCCAGAGAGCCCGTGTGGAGATGGAGAAACTTCCATAAAATTCTGGTGGAGGGATCTCTGTCTGTCTGTATTTCAATTTTCTGGACAACCACTCATCCAAAAAACTTCAGAGTTAACACTGCACCTCCTCGGGTCCTCAGCAACACACCCGCCAAGTTTAAAGTCAAGCAGACAGACAGACATTTCTTGGTTTATTAGTAGAATTGTGTGTTTTGCAGTGTGTTTATCCAATTGCCCTTTGGAGACAAATAAACTGATTGATTGATTCACTCAGTTATTATTCTGAAACCAAACATCTCATCTTTCCTGCAGGGCTCCTTCATGTTCCCTGACTCCTCCGGCCTGTCAGATGACTCCCAGTCTGGAGCCAGCCACCTGTGGCCCACTATGGTCCCTCCACGCTACTCCCCTCCTCACAACCATCCTGATGAGAAGCCCCCACCGTACAGCCCGTAAGACGGCTTCGAGCAAAGAAAACACCTCAAGCGCTATTAGCTTGTTGTTAGATGCTGAATGAGTGGTTTGAATGCACAACGCCTCTGGGCTTTTCCTCACAATCGTTCAGAACTGCAGTGAAGGGAAGGTGGTGAGGAGGAGGACGTCCACAGAGTACACGGACTTTGAGTTCAGCCCAACACAAGGGAGCGAGTGTTTGTCTCCCAGGGCGCCACTCACACTCTGGCCTGCACTGTGTGTGTGTGCGTGTGTGTGTGCGTGCGTGCATGTGTGCGTGTGTGTGTGTGTGTGCGTGCACATACACATCAAGAGATACAACCAGTTCAAAGCCAGGACTGTTTACACATCTATCTGCCTTAATGCAAATGGACTTCCTGCGCTGCAGCACTCTGTCACCTGGATGTATTCTGTGCAAGGTCAACAAAAAAAACAAACTCTCCTCCAGCTCATGCTTTACATTCACCTCTCTTTAGTGTAAATGCTTCCTGCTTCGAGTGGTACTGATGATAACATCCTCACTGTGAGGACCTGGACTGATTAGTACAGCTGCGACCCTCATGTCAGATTAATGCAGAGTTAGATGAAAGCTTTCCCGAATCTGGATCAGCTTGAATTAAATTAAAAACTTTAGAGTTTTAGGCCCAAGCCGTCGTTCCTTTAGCAGTTGAAAGTGTCAGTGTACATTATCTAAGGAAAAGTTAGCAGTAACGGAGGTATTACATGCTCATAATGTATGTACAGCAGTATGATATACAGAAGCTCTTTTAGCAGTTAGGCCTAAGGTTTGCAAACAGATCTTGGTATCTATTTATCAACTCTTCACTTTATGTTAAAGAATATCCTGATCAATGTGTGATGAACTTTGCAGAGCAGTGTTAATGAAGAAAAAATAAGCTATTCTACCTAAAGTAGTTGTTGAAGAAATACAGTTAATAATTACACTCTGAACTCTATTTATTGTATTTTCCACTAAAAAGCTGCAAAGCAGGTAAGCATATGTATGTCTCTCTCTTTGTAAGTAGTACTAATGTCACATCTACGAGCTGAAATGTGTTGTCCTTGTCACTCATTTGAGAAGATTGAGTGTGAACAGTCAGTGCTGGATTCACTGACATGAGATGGGAGATCATGAAGAACGGTCGGCAGAAGTGTAAACTTACTCCATGTCCATGAAACCAGTCTCTGTCAGCTTTAATCACTGCTTTTTATAATTTAAACCACACATTCTCAGGGGCTGATAAAGTGTCAGTTCCTTTTTTGTCTTGCCATTAAAAACTGTTTTGTGTAACTCACATTGCGTGTTTCTTCCCCCCCTCCCCCTTTTGTTCCAACATCTCAGCAACTGTTGGATGAGCTGCCATGAAGTTGTGCACAGACATTCAGGGTTCCCAGAGGATGAAACCCACTTAAGACTTTGGTTATCCTGTTGACTTTTTCCTTTTGTGCCACAATGAGACATTTTTGTTTTATGATGTTGAACTATCAGCATGTTAGCATTTTCACATTATTTAGCATTTAGCTTAAAGCTCCACTGTGCCTGAGAGCTCCTAGCATGGGTAGAGACTCTTTATCTTGTTTAACTAAATTATGTCAAGAGGAATCGTCATGGTTGAATCAACATTATATTTAAGGGACAGGACAGGAAATTATATGTCTCATTATATTGGTGAATTCAACTCTTGTACAAACAGGATTTTCCATCACTTCTGACTTATTTTACTCATAAAAACTCAGGTGTCGGTTTATTAAAGAATTCTAGCTAAAACTAATGCAATTGTAATACAGCCCTGCAATAAATCCTTCCTTCAAGAAGGTTATAATGTTCAGTTTTTGAGAAAAAACTCCCCTGGTATTACGCAATATAGTTCCAACAGCAGCACAACTCAAAGCCTCAAACGATCAGAAAGTTCAATCAACAAAAACTGAACATTATAACCTTCATGAAGGTAAGATTTATAACAAGACTGTCACTTACACTGGTTTAATTTTAACCACAAAAACAAACTAAAAACACTTTCATTGTGGGAGACAAAGTGATTGCTAATCAGTGTTTTGTGGCCCTAATTTTGAGGTAGTACAACACTGCAATGACAAAACACAGTAAATAAAATAGCAGATGTTTATAGGCTCACGTTGCAAGACAGTTATGTTAAAATAGTAAAATAATTTATTGACCGTCACAATCCTCATTGCTAACTCACAGAAAAGGGACATTTTGGTAAATACCAACAGACCCGAGTATTTAATATCTATTTCATTTTGTCTATGCTATAAACCTAATAAATACATCTGAGTTAAAAAAGAGAGAAGTTAAAACAAATATATACTGTACATCACACACCAATGTTAATCTGTTTATTAAAAAAGAAAATCGGCATGATTTTACTGAATGACAAGAAGTAGAATTGATTCCCACGTTAGCACTACTTTTTTACTCATACTGACCAATCACTACCTTCTGACACAAAGGAAAAAAGAAAGAAAAAACAAAAATGTTACAAAACAAAACTTCTCCATGATCGAACACTAAGTGCTATTTGTTTGGACTGAAATAATCCTCAGTTTATGTCAATCCTATCATCACATTTGTATGCAAAATCTCTAGCCTACAGTATGAAGCCAGCAGATTTTGGCATTAAAATAACATTTCATATAAAAAAAACAACAACATGGAAATCATGATAAACAAAAATGTGAAGGTGCATCAAAATAAAACATAAGGTGTTTAATGGACAAAAAGGAAACCATAATTGTTTACCAACCACTGAAAAAATTAAATAAGCATTGTATCATCCCTGCCACAATACCCACATGTGGGATCGCCAACAATAACATAATAAAAAAAATATATTTCAGATCATATTCTCTTGTACAGAATTAGGTCTCAAATGGAGACCAGGAACGATCCTTCCAGCAAACCCTTGTGTCTGTTAAAGGCCGAGTCATGATTGATGCATCAGCTAATGATGCATTTGAACAACCTTGTTTTACTCCATTGTGGCAGACATCATGTATTTTATACAAATCAGAAATGCATTAATGTATCCTGACCAGAAAAAAAGGTCACCTGCTTACATAATCGTCAACTGAGGTTTCACACTCTTAAGTAGGTAACCCCGTTTCTATTTTATTAAATGGGGCTCAGTGGGCTGCTTAACGTCATAAACTGATTTCGGAAACATGACCTAAATGTTAAAAATCATTGCTGAAACAAGTCAGAGCACTATTTAAATGTTTCATTTCAGTGCTTTGTGCTTCAGATCCTTCAGCTGAGATTTCCTGGCTGATACAGAATTTGTAGCTGAACACCAAAAAGACATTAGGCATCAACATTGGTCTGAGCCTCCGACAGCTATAACTTGTCTCATACTGCGAAGATTTAAATGTTCATTACCTTTTTTGCCTTTTTATTACAGCTACTGAGTTCTGCATTAAGGACCTCCTATTTTTCTGGGTCAGTTTTTGATTCTTGCATGTGAACCACCTCTCTGTTTAGTGGCTAATCTGATTATCATTTATTCCAATGATACCAAAGTTCAAAGCTAATACAAAAGCAGAGTAATAAAAGGTAGTCACATTACACTTCCATCAACTGCAACTATTTGCTTCATCTCCTTTTCAATTTAGTTGAAGCTGGCACGACAGACAAATTCAAGCATCTCTTTCCTGTTTTGGTGCAATCTTCAGCTGACTCTGACGGACTCACAATTCAGAGTCCACCATTGATTAACTGTGGATCTGCTTCATCACATTTAGTACAATATTACAGCACTAATCTTCGTTAAATGGAAAGACTGTGACGGGACCTCACGCTGACACCATTATTGAAACTTACAGAAGAACATTGATGACATGGAACCAAAGAGGAAAAAAGGGCGGGGGCACCTAAAAGGCACAGGTAATGGAGCAGCGAGTGTTGCTCAGTAGGTCTCTGGTATAACAAAGTCAAACTCTGTGGCGCCTTGTGGAGGAGTGCTTATGGTTGACCTTGGTTGGGGTGGGGGTTGGGGTTGGGGTTGGGGTTGGGCGTCGGGCGTCAGGTGTGCGTCGGGTTCAATGAAGATGTCGTCCCAGTTCAACATCCTGCTCTGGGTGGAAGAGGAGACGTCTTCGCCATCGGTGGTTATGTGATGCAAGCTGCCATCCTCAGAGATGACAGGGACCCCCGGCCCCTCATTCGCCCATGAGTACGGCTTCATCTGCACCGTTTTACACGGCAGCAGGCGGTATAAGTTGTTGTCTGCGTCGTCTTTCTCTTTCCTCCCGCTGGGATCCTGGTTGTGGACTTGCTTGCAATGGGTGGACAGTAACTGGTAGTTTATGAACATGTCATTGCACAACAAGCACTGGTACCTCCTCTCTCCTGTGTGGTGAATTTCGTGTTTAGTTCTGTACTCGGCCAGGGCAAAGACTTTGTTACAGTAGCGACAAGGGTACTTCTTTTCCCACGAGTGCGTGTTGAAGTGACGGCGGAGGCTCGTCAGACACACGTAGGGGCGCTTGCAGACGATGCACACGTAGAAAGTCTTCCCATCCATGATCAACTCGTAGTGATCCTCAAGCTCAGTTTTGGTCCTCTTCTTGTTTGGGCCAGCCTTTGGTGGGGGGGAAGTTTTATCAAAGGGTTTCAAAGGTGTTGCCATTAACGATCTCTTCCCTTTATTGGCTTTAGAGCCTCCCTCACCTGGATCTTCCTTCACTGGGACAATGTCATAAGTATTTTCTCCAATATTGGCATAAACTTTACAGCCTGATGAAATGGAATCAATCTCTGTGGCTGTATTGAGTGTCACTGTCTTTTTTGCTGCTATTGCTGATTTGGGAATGTTAGCCTGATTAGCTGGACTTTCAGAAACATCTAAGAGCCTTAATTTGAAATTCCCCTGCTGAGATGAAGTAGAGACTTGTTTCTTGTGGACTCCCATTATATCACTGTTTTCAGAGGACTGAGAGGCACTCGAAGGTTCAGGGGTGAAACTGCTTGACCTGGCTGGTGTTGTGGGAGCACTTCCTGAGGAAACTCTGGCAGGGGAAGACGAGTTATTGGAGCTGGAGTCTGGACTGCGCAGAGGGCTGCTGTCTGGCAAACTGGGGTTATGACAACTGATACTGGGAGTCTTTGCGGCTTGTGTTTTCACGGTGGCTGTGGCTTTTTCTTTGTGTTTTGGAACTGCATGATTTGATTCTTCATTTTGCTTTGATGCTACATTTTTTTCTGAATCAGTTACATCCACATCAATGATCTCACCAGAGTTGGTTTTCTGATTGGCTGCTCTGGTTTGAGCATCTGTTTGTGAGACAAACATAACATCACTGTCCGAGTCCTCGTCATTATCTGCAGGTCTGCTCGTCTGATTGAATTCCTCTGCAGATATTGAGAAGGACTCCGTGATGATCGGCATCATCTCTGTGGATGCGTCACTTTTGCTTTCAGCCTCTTTAGACAAACCAGGAAGACCCTTAACTTGTGATAATGGTGACCCCAAGTTTGCAATGAACTTCACTCCCAGTATCTGTCCAGCATTTATGAGCTCCTCAAGCATGTCGGAGCGCACACGGACAATCTTGGAGCTGTACATGTAATTGAGAATCTCCTCAAAGATTTCTGCTCTGATGAAGTTTAACTCGATCACTTGTCCAGCTACACTGAAGAGCTGGTGGAAATATGTACTCGAGGCAGACAGGATTGTTTTGTGAGCTCTGAATTTTTTGTCCTGTATGATGATGGTGACATCACAAAATAATCCATGATTTCTCTGCTCATTCATTGACTTCAGCACAGCTGCTGAATACTGTGTGTCGGTCGCAGAAATCAGCTTTAGACTTGGCATGTCTGTAGAGAGAAAAAAATCAAAGAGAACAAATCAGAATCACACTAATAAATGCACAACAAAAGTCTGTTAATTACATTAGTAGATCAACAAAACATTCAGTTAAAGACTTGGCTAAAAGTTGGCCATTCCCACATCTGGCTTTTCCAGTTCTAAACTGTCTTGCCAATAAAAACTCAATCAGCTGTCGAAAATGTAACAATCAGGGAAGTTTCCTGAAGGAAGTTTAATCGCAAACACCTCTGTCCTAGTTCTCTTTTGCACATATACACTCAATTTTCATTGATTAACTAGCTAAAACTATGGCCGTCTAACACAGCAGCAAGCCCTACATGCATGAAGGTTGCTTGTTTGTATTATGGAAATTTTCTTAGAGGTTTTTTGATTCAAGTTCAAGGTTATTTAGGCTGTAGTGTGAGGTGCTGAGAAATATGTTTAATAAATTAGATTTCTGAGCCCAATGTTGATATTTGTGGCTTAAATAAACACACCATTGTCCTCTGCTGGACAAACTAGTTGACTGTGAACTTTCTTATGCTGCATTTTCTTATAGCTTATGAGTCCACATACAGTCAGCTGTTAGTTTATTATGAACACCCAATAATGTAGATAACAATAGATTATTAATATTTAGCTTGTGCTGAAATAACTTCACAGATGTAGGCTGTTGATGCAGATGTAGATGGAGGCTGCAATTTGTGGTGCTCTTGCATTATATTGCATTATTCTGATATTTGTTTCTACAATTTAGCCTAGGGTGGACACAATAATAGAAAGACCTCAAAAAGGTTTAATCAAGACGTGATTTAATACAGGGCAGTTTTGTTGGCTTAACCTAACTGTTGTTTAGGGATAATTACAAATTCATTATTACTAAAATAAATGATTCCAAGTTTTATGAGATGTTGATGCAAACAGGAATGACGAGGGCACGAATGTGAACAGATGTAACTAATGATAGTTTTGTAAATCAGGAAACAAAAACAATAACGTTACGTTAGCTGATATTAGCTAAACGTTAGTTTGCCAAACTTGTAGTAACTAGCTCAAATGTTAGACACGCGTGACGTCGCAAAAGCGGAGAAGTGCGTTTGTTTACCTTTAGGGGGGGTTATCTACTTTGAGGAGCCTGTTATTATTGTTATTGGTGTGTTTAAACGCAGTCGTTAGCCAGCTAACAAAAGGTAACGCTAGCTCCTTCACTCTTCCTCTTTAATGAAAGGGCACAGCGCGGCCTAGCATCCTGTTAGCTACACACACAGCACCACAATGGATGCATAATTATTTCCGAGCTTGTGGGTTTAAAATGAATCCTGTTTACCTGCAACCTTGATGTTTTCAGCCAAGACTAAGCAGAGCAGCCACCAACTCCTGCAGATAGTAACTTGTCAGGCTACAAACAATGGCTAACGGCAGACAGGATCCCCCTGCTGCTCCCCGCTAACCGATCAGCCACAAGGAGTCGCCGTAGTGTGGCTTTAACGCACACAAAATTCAAACCATACAGCATTGTAATGATATAATGATAAAATAAACAACAGTTTGGCTTCACGCTAGAAAAAAAGACAACAATGAAAAACTGTCCGAATATTATTTCAGTAGAAAATTGTGTTCTTTTTAGATAACTACCGGTTCACCTTCAAAATAAAAGCGTAGAGACTCCTACTATCTCAAACATCACATAATAGATTTCCTGTGTTTATCCGGTCAGGTTCACGCCTTCTTCTCCAAATCTGTCCCGTTGAAGACAAATTGTTGCCGCTGAAGTCTGCATGAAGTTAATCGGAAACTATCTTCCTCTCTACTGATAGTTGGATCACATAGTTTCATTTTCTCAAAACATTTGTTGTGTTATCTCGGACCTGTTTCATGCTTTCCTGGTTTCAGGTTGCAGGAATGAAGTGCTGAACCAAATATGCTCCGAAAGGTTCACACCACCCATGTAAATACAGTCACCGCCTGTCCCACAGAAAGTTCAACAAGCAAAGCAAAAAAAAAGTTTACAAAAGTATTTTACAGACATAGGAACAAATTTTTAAAAATCTGAGAAAATACATGCTCACAGCACATTAAAGCACATAAAATACACAACTAACATTCAATGTAATTATAGGTGAAAGTCGGTAGTTAAAGAATAAAGTTAAACGAAACATAAAAAGTAGATTTATTATGCTCATCTGACACGAGGTTGCATTTGTAACGTCATGATATAAATAAGTAAATGGTATTTTCTTTAGGGTTAAAATAAGATAAAATAATAAGGAAATCTTTTAAGTATGTGATTATACCCATTTTTGTTTGTATCTATTTATTTCATTACTGATAAACTAAAATATTTTATAACACAGTAGAAGCGGAACTATGTGTATTGCATGGTTATGAAGACCCGGTTTCTATTAGGGGACGGACGCTTGTTTTGCTTGCGTACATAAGAAAAGGGAAAACACTGGATCGCAGTTTGTGAATTTTTTTCTACATGCCTTCCTCTAAATACAGTTTTTAAACTTTTGTTTGTGGCGTTTAAATCTAAAGCAGTCGGTCGGTATGCCTCTGTCGGATAGGTCGAGCTCTGACGGCGGCGGCGGGCCTCGGAGTCCTCGGGCTCGGAGACCCCGGACTCGCTCTCGCTCCCGCAGCCGCAATCGCAGCGACAGCCTCGAACGGAGCCTGTCCCCGGACAGCTTTGGGCCCAAACTCCCGAAGCCGCGGAACAGGGAGAGGGAACGCGAGGAGCGGGAGCGTCGATTCCGAGAGGCGAGAAACATCAGACGGATACGTATAGGAAGCCCTCGTCGCAGTCGGTCCCGGTCCCGGTCCCGGTCCAGGGAGCGTCACAACAACACCTCCAACAACAACAGCAGTCACAACCACTGGTCCGAGCAGCGGGACGCTCCAGGAAAACACGGCAGCTTTAGAGATGAATACTACTACGAACAGCAGCGGGACGACGCTCAGAGGCAGAGACAAGAAGCCTTTATCGCCAGGTAAAGCAAAATATTATTTTATCGATTAAAGGGTCAATTTACCTTGCCAGGTAAAAATTAATGTTTTTCAAACAGTCAGTAGCAGTTGTAATCCCAGTGATGATACAATGATTTACCCCTTAACCTAAAGGGATATGTTAAAACATTGTGTAATAAACCAGATCTTAAATTGCCATCTAGGACTTGGCAGTATGGTTGAAATCAGTATCACAATATCAATATGGATGTTGTCTGACATTGCCAATGTTAAATTGCTGAACTTCCCTACTGCTGATCCATAAAAAGATACATTATTTAGGTTTTAAATGAATATAGGAATTGATATTGATATGTTGCCTTAAAGATTGTTTTGATAGATAACTATATCTGTCTGTCTGTATGTTACAGGCGCCTTCAAGAGAGGGAGAGGATCGGTGAGTTGGGTTGTCCTGAAGTGTGGGGATATTCACCAAGAGTGAAAGAACCAGAGTAAGTGAATAATCTCTCCATTATAACAACATGTTCAGTGTATGATATTGTTTTTGGAGGAGTATGAGACTTACTGATGATCATCCCTCTGTATGTCACATTTTTCTTATTTTGTTTCTACTAGCTCTGATGAATTCACACCAGTTGAAGAAGATGAGAAAAACAGCAGTTCAGAGTCAAGCTCAGAAGGTACTGCCTGTGAAGTGTGTGAACATTAATAAATAGAAGTGACATGGTGTATCGATTGAATTTACAAGGAATCCTGTCTGTCATTAACAGAAGAGAAGAAGAAGAAAAAGAAGAAGAAGAAGAAATCCAAGAAGAGAAAGAACAAAAAGCACTCCGAGGACAGTGAGCTGGAATCAGAGTCAGATGGTGAGACAGTCATAGTTACATTCATTTATTAAAGCTCAATACAGTCGGTTTCATCAGATTTATAAGCTGAGCTGTCACATTTTTATCTTCCAGAAGAAGAAATAAAGAAGAAGAAAAAGAAAAAGAAGAGCAAAAAGTAAGTGTGAATGCAACTACGTGCTTCACTCAAACAGAGGGGGAGGAGGTGATTTAACCAAGCATCACATGTTTCCTAACAGGTCCAAGAAGTCCAAGAAGAAGAAGGCGAAGAAGAGTCGTAAGGAGTCCAGTGAGTCCAGCAGCGAGGAGTCTGAGGAGGAGGAGGAGGAAGAGGAAGATCCCAATGGGGTGATGTGGGTGGAGAAAACCTGCATGGACGAGCACATGGTCGGCCCTGAAGCTCCACTCACCCACATGTCCCAGGACGACAGGCCTTTGGAGTGAGTCTGTTTGACATCCACTCCTCTTCTTGCAGTTTACGCCACTGTGATTAGAGTGTTCACAACAAAAACACAGCACTGTTAGAAAAACAGCCAAGATTCATAACGCTCGAAAGTCAGCTCGAGATATGTCAGTGACCGTAGGTCTAGCCTCTATATTTGTATATTGGGCTACAGGTAAGTTATTTTCATTCCTGATTAATCTTCCAATTATTTACTCGATCAAGCAATTAATGGGTTTGTCTATAAAAGATCAGAAAATAGTTTTCCTGCTGACGCTTTCAGATGTCTTGTTCTGTTCAACAAATAGTTCAAAACTCTGTGGCCAGTTTCCTTCGAACAACTATTCGTTTCAGCTTTACTTGTTACAGTGGAAAACAAAATACATTTTTGGTGACATGATAATGGTTGAGCTGAAAAGATTGGTTGATTAATCAATTAGAGGATTGACACTAAATTAAGTGGCAACAGTTCTCTAATGATTGAAGTCATTTTTACTGGTTCCAGCTTTTGAAATGTATATTTCGGCTGGTTTTCTTTTCTCAGCCTTCTGTGATAGTAAACTGAACGTCTTTGGGTTTTGGACAAAACAGTTTGAAGATGTCATTTGGGCTCTAGGAACTTGTGATGGGCGCTTATCACTGTCTGACATTTTATAGACCAAATAATCAGGAGATTTATTGATAATGCAAATAATTGTTAGAAGTCAGCTTCTTAACATTAAAAGCAGCTGTATGAACTGATCTTCACTCTGCCAAGAAAAAGCAAACAATATGTTTAAGTTTAGAATCTGTATTTACATCTCATACACACAGAGACTACACTCTCAAACATTTGTTTCATATAGGACATATAATATCCCGCAGCCTGACTAATTATGGCTTTTGATTTTACTTTTTTTTTTCTTTTTTTGACATTTCTGATTCATTAAGTAAAAGCATTCAGCTTGTTCACCATGTGCATTTTTCTCTTCCTCTAGTTTTGGTCATGCGCTGTTGCCAGGTGAAGGTGCTGCGATGGCAGAGTACGTGAAAGCAGGAAAACGTATCCCGAGAAGAGGAGAGATCGGTCTCACCAGCGACGAGATCGCAAACTTTGAGAAGTCTGGCTATGTGATGAGCGGCAGCAGGTACGTGAAGCTTAGAGGTCGGACTAAAAACTGTCACCTTGCTCATGATACGGTTTGTGCAGCAGCAATTCAGTATTTCAGGTATCAGCATGATGCCTCTCCTCACAAATGTTTATTCATTTCAAATCTCAGTGAAGAAATCTGAGAACTTACTTACATTTTGCCTCCAAGAACATAAATATATTTTAGCAGTTATTTTGAATGGTCCAGTAACTTCAGATAGTACGTTTGAAGTTGTGGCACAGTTAAAATTAATGTAAACCAGACCAAAGAACCATCCATCTATTCTTCATGTAATACTGACCAATTCCCACACGTAACCCTGCAGACACCGTCGTATGGAGGCTGTGCGTCTGAGAAAGGAGAACCAGATCTACAGCGCAGATGAAAAGAGAGCTCTGGCGTCTTTCAACCAGGAGGAGAGGAGGAAGAGAGAGAGCAAGATCCTGTCGAGCTTCAGGGAAATGGTGTACAGGAAAACCAAAGGCAAGGAGGAGAAGTGAACATCACGTTTCCACAGTTTGCTCTCAGATGACCTTTTATCAGACACCTTTACTCTTTGTCCTGTGACTACAGGTGTCTATTTTAGGAGGAGGCGTAAGGGGAATGTACAGTGTGGAGGGAGGATTTTAACTGTAAAGAAATGTGTAGAAGTGAGACTCTGAGAAGTATTTAGTTGTATTATTTGTCTCCATCCTATTTACCTACTGGAACTAGTCTTTCATTACAGCTGTTCAACTATAATTTTCTTTTGTAAATTTTTGCATATCATCCCCAATAGAATGGCAAATAAATTTTCACTATGAAGTCATCTTGTGGTTTTCTTTTAAATGAACGTTCCCAACTTTGGAACTCCTTAAAGTGTCATTTTGTTTAATTTTAGCTTAATTTCTGGATGTCCTAAGAGGGAAATGTCTGAAAATCTTGATATATTTTTGTGTAGCATATATGTTTTTTTCTGCTTTCCTAGTCTGTTAATCATTTAATGACCTCTCCGATTTCTTTCAACTCCTTGGAGGATCCTGTTTTTAACTGTTAATAGTGTGATATTTTGGACATGGCCGTATATCAACAGGGTTGGCTCTTGTAACTGAGAGGATTGTAATAAAATTATTATTTTCATCATTGATTAATTTGTCATTTTTAGAGTTATCAATTATTAGTTTCAATAATAAATTATTTATTTCAATCAGAACAATACGATTAGACTTTCAAAAGTTGACTGCAGCTTTCAAGACCAGGAAGAGACATTTAGGATGTATGATAACCAACGTTGAGTCTCACAACAGACATTGATATATTCCTCTAGTACAACACTGGATTATCAGATGTAAAGTATAAGATCGACAACAGGTGTAAAGCATTAGTTTAGTTAGAACCCCACTCTCTTGTCAGTTGTTTTTTAGCTTCAACATATGACCCAAGCCTCAAAAGATTTCCAGTATGGAACAGTTTAATTGATAACAGGAACAACCGCTTTAAAAGACCGAAAAAATGAACAGCTGAATGTTAAATATAATCCTTTAATGTACAACAAAGAACTTTTTTCTCATCAGGGTCTTCATGTTCCTGGTCATCAGTGGATGTTCTCAAGTCCCTGTTGAGAAAGAAAAAAAGATTAATCAGAACTACAGTGTAGAGCCTGAGAAGGGGGAACAAATTATACCTAAACATTTGTACTAGAATATGAATCTTGGTGACTTCAAAGTGATTTCTAGTGTAGCTCTGTCCACCTGCAACCTGAGTGGAGGTCTCATCAGTCAAATATTTAACACCTGTATGGGTGTGCAGGGCCTTTGATTACAAGGTTATGCTGTGGTATGGTAATTAAGTTTGTTTAAGCATGTTTTCTTGTCAGTTTACATGTGATTGTATAGTTAAAAACATGTCATTAACAGGACATTTTTAATACTTTCATAATACAATAATCCATTCAAGAATCTCCATGTTTGTTTACTTTTTGCCTGCCTTCTGTACCGTTTTGGATTTTAGCATCGATTTTCAGTGATCTAACTAAAAATGACAGGTTGTAATCTCATTGTTCAGGAGTAGGTGCTTTATTTGCAATATCAGTCATTATACTTTTCTGGTTTTGCGTGGATTGTTTTACACAAGTAAGAGTGGTGCGCTAACATTACCCTGATGAAAACATTAGTTGCCATTCCCACTTTTAGAGAGAACTTTCTTACAAAGAAGTGGTCTTCTATGAGAATTGATAGAATTTCTGAACCAAGTGATCCAGTTCAACACAGTATTAAGTTTAACTCTGATAAAGCGGTCTATAGGATTCATACCACTTTATTTTAATTTTATTTAAATCCGTAATCAGTATGTGTCAGCTGTGCAGAAGAGGTGTTATTATTTGTCAAAAGCAAGTCTCACGAGTGCCAGTCGATTTATCTATTGTGCTGACGTACCAGCACCTGTGCATGTGTCTTTAGAAAATTAGCACATCTGTGTGGTTCGTCTGTTCTGTTGTTGTATATTTTTAATAAAACAACTAATGTCATAGATGAATGGGAGACAGTCGACACAGAGCTGGCTAGAGGGAAAATATGTATTTTTAAAACACATATGAAAATATACACATCTTTGCGAAAGGTTTTGACACACGGACTCTCACCTTGGATTCATAGTACTGTCCTGATCCCGACACTCGCCTATCTCTCTCCATCAGATACCAGTGCCACGGAACCCGAGCGATTCTCTTCTCCTACAGAGAACACATGAGTCTTTAATAAAGCAGTTCAAAGTACAAAAACAGACTTGCAGCATTTACACTCCGGTTGTTAGCACGGTCAGAGCCACATTAGCAGGCAGCATCCTTCTCACCTTTCCTCCGTTGGTGAACTTGTGGATCTGTGCGGTGGCGACGCCGGGAATGATCATACACACGGTCATGATGGCGAAGCCGGGCAGAATTTCATACCACATGATTACAAAGTTCAACTGTCAGGCGACTGAGAGCAACTTTGAGGACAACCAAGTTGCCCCGAGACTAACCTCGATAGTTTATTTTGCTAAGAAGCTAACAAAATGTCGACCGCCCGGATGACCTGAACTCCTCTACCAGAAAACAAAAAAACACTTCCTGTCGGAGTTTTCAAAAGAAAAGCGTCAGCTCTGGCTCTGACGAAAGACGACATATCAACACATCACAGTAAGTCAACTCAGAACAAGTAACAAAACAAGAACGAAAGAGAAATAATAGATATGGACGCATAAAAATGTAAAATTGTTATTTGAAAAGTATATCTGTTAATAAAGAGTAAACAGTGCAAAAAAAACCCTCTGAGATGTAGTGGAGTAGAAGTATAAAGTGGTATTAAATAGAAATGCCCAAGTAAGGTACGAGTAATTCAAAATTGAATTTAAGTACAGTATTGGAAATGTACATAGTTACTTTCCACCAATACAAAATAACCTACTCAAAAGTTCAACTTCCTTTTATTTTGAAGGGCAGTCAATAAAAAGGAAGTTTTATTTTTCTGACCTTTTAATTTTTTTCAATAGAAGAAAACAACGAAAGGTAGCCTTACAGTTAAATAACAAAAATAAAAATAATAATATTGACAAAAAATAAATACATAAATACATCATCATATTTAGAAGTTCATGGTGTACGTTCGTTTTAAATTACAGCGCTCCCCTCAGGTGGGAACACTGAATTGCAGTCCCAACCGTCAGAGAGGAAGTTACGGTTAGTTCGCTTGCTGCTAGCCGGCTAACTTGCTACAAAAGTAAACAAGTCTGCGGGATGAGATGAAATTCAACCGCGCGACAAAGTAGCGTTTCAGCCATGAAGGAAGACAAGGAAAACACTCGACCGAAGGACAAAAAAGTGGAAATAAAATGTGAAGATGGAGAAAAGACGGAGAAGTCCAAGGAAAAGAAAGAGGCCATGACAAAGGTGAAACTTGCTAGCTACGTTAGCTTCGGTTGCTATAAACCAGTCAGTTATTAATACTTATAATGATTTCATCAAGTAACGGCAAGTTTTTGACTGGTCTCAAATCTAACACGCAGTGCCTAGTTTGTGAATGATAAAGTCAGTTAAAACCAGACTAACTCTCACCCAACTTTAAGTTAATATTAGCCAGTTGTTGCCCTCTTTTTTTCAGTCTGATTGTTCTCACATCTGTGCTAATAACGACAACTGTGAATAATGTTTCCCCAGATCGTGATTAGGCGATTACCACCTAGTCTGACCAAGGAGGAGCTGGAGGAGCAGCTGCAACCTCTCCCAGAGCTGGACTACCTGGAGTTTTTCTCCAACGACACCAGGTGAGTTGCTGCAAATACTTTTCATCATTTAAAACATACTACCAGCGCCTCTAATAGTTTGCCATGACATGATTCTTCTGTGCTTTCAGCCTTTACCCTCACCTCTTCGCAAGGGCTTACATCAATTTCAAAAATCAGGATGATATAGTCCTCTTCAGAGATCGATTTGATGGATATGTATTCATCGACAACAGAGGTATGAAGATAATGAATTGGAGTTAAATAAACAAACCTAAGGATTTTATCAGTAACGAATTGAGCCTTCACCCTTGTCCACATATCACTTGTCTGCAACAGGACAGGAGTATCCTGCCATTGTAGAGTTTGCACCCTTTCAAAAGACTGCCAAGAAAAGAAGTAAGAAAAAGGACGCAAAATGTGGAACAATTACTGAAGGTAAAGATATTTACTGATATTTAAAAGTAATGTGCATGTTTTGCCTTATTGTAATAAAGAAATGAGATTCAATGAATATATATTTTAGTGGCATAACCATCAACCATTTGCTCCATGTACTGCATGTTTATGGTTAGATTTGCCAGTTTTTAATGAGGAAAAAGGTCAGGAATAACAGGTTGATTTATGTGTGTATAATCTTGTATCTGTATCTGTATGTCATTTTCTTTAAGATCCTGATTACAAGCGGTTCCTGGAATATTATAATGGAGATGAAGAAAAGTTGACATCAACACCTGAGACCCTGTTGGAAGAGATTGAGGCAAAATCAAAGGAACTTGTAGGTAGGTCAATTAAAAATAGACCTGAGACATCATTGTATATATGTTGAAATAGACACACTGTCCAAAGGATAATTTAAACATACCTTTTCTCTTTCTTCAAGGGAAAAAAACCACTCCTCTGCTGGACTTCCTGAAGAATAAACAGGTAAATGTGCACAACAGTGTGGTGTTCTATTATGTTTTTTTGTTATGTTAGCTATGTTAAATTGCTTGATGAAGGGTGACCTCATGTCCTGTTACACTTCCATTCAGAGAATCAGGGAAGAAAAGAAAGAAGAGAGAAGGAGGAGGGAGCTTGAACGGAAGCGTCTGCGGGATGAGGAGCGTCGTAAGTGGAGGGAGGAGGAGAGAAGGAAGCGCAAGGAGGCAGAGAAGATGAGGAGACTTGAGAAACCGCTGGAGAAAGACAAGGACCAAGTTAAAGAAGAACCAAAAATTAAGGTCTGTGTGCTGCAATGGAGTGTAGCAGTTTAAAACTGTTTAATTTCTAATATTTCATTATGATCTGATATCTCTTTATGTTCAACTGTGTAGCTCCTGAAGAAGCCAGACAGAGGTGAAGGTGCTGATCCTGAGAAGCCAAAGGAAAAGAGCAAGAAACCAGAGAAGCCAAGTAAAGAGGACAGATCCATGGGAAGTGCTGATCATAAGAGGCGTCAGAACATTGAAAATAAGGAGGATCGGGGAAGGAAGTTAGTTGCTTCAGTCATTTTATTTGAAAACACATTGCTCACTTTGAGCAGAATACTGTAACATTTGTGTTTTACACACAGAGCGGACGATGACGGGCGAAAGGAGTTCAGGGAGCGTGACACAGATCGAGACAGAGAGCGCGATCGAGAGAAGGAGCGGCGGCAGAAAGAGAAGGAGCGCATCAGGCGTCAGGATGAAGAGCGGCGGAGAAGGAGAGAACAGCACGATGGAGAAAACTCGTGCCGGAAGCGGGAGGAGGAGGTGAAAAAAGAAAAAGACCGTGCCTTGGAGAAGAAAAAGGGTGAAAATGTTGGAGAATCCACTCACTTTGAGAGGCCGGAGAAGCTTGCCAAAGACAACAAGAAGGATGACGGTGGCAAAAGAGAGCGGCTACGAAATAAGGTGACTATTCTAGTCTTTCAAATTATCAAGTAATTTCACATCATTTCTTCCTTTTTAGTATTTCTAATAGTGTTGTCTGTCTGTGCATCAGGATCGGCCTGCTATTCAGCTGTACCAGCCAGGGGCCAGAAGCCGCAATCGTACTACAGGAGGAGGAGCTGAATCCAACTCTGCCGACAGGAAGCCAGACACTGAGACCAAGAAAGTGGCTGACAAAGGAGATGACTGAGCAGATTTCTACTTATGGCATTTTAAGTTTGGTGAGGAGAGGGTAGACAGGCCTGTGAGGCTCAGAGCAGCGATGTGGTGCCTCAGGGCAACGTGCACTGCAGTTGAAGCAGGGCTACATCTGGCTCTCCCAGTCTCAGAGGCAGAGTGTGATGGTGGAGCCTCCTTGTGCCTGAATGTGACCCTCTATTAGTTTTGTTTGTTAGGAAAGGTAACAGTAACCTTTGGAAAGAGTTTGGCTGTAGGGAACATTAGGTGAAGCCAAAGCTTTCTTGGACCATGTGAACTCAAAGTGACCTTATTTCAGTATTGTTTCTCTGGTGGAAATTGTTCACACTGCAAATATCAGCTTTTAACTTGTTAATCCAAATCACAGTCTGGAGGTATAAAATAACCTTGCAGGTCTTTAACTTCCCAATCACTCAACATGTCAACTTTGCCAAGCTCATCAATATTGTTTCCACACTGTCTTGAAAGAGATTTCTGTTGTATCATTGCCATTTTCAGTTTGAAATGCACACATAGACATCTTATGTATGTGTATGTGCAGAACTGTTATTAAAACGTTCCATGGTCTATAAACTTATAATAGTCTCACAGGAACAATATATGCTGAAGAGACAGGAGAAATAGCCATTTCTGACTAGACTGCCATGTGACAGCCATGCCTGCATGAACACTTCAATCAGAGTGATCAACCTGTGGCCTTCCCCCTTTTCTAATCTGAAACTCCATTGAAAAATTCATCTGTGATGCACTAAACTGAACATGAAAACATATCAGCATGAAAACATATCATAGCTGGTGATGCTAACATACAGTAGCCACTTTTGACTGGAAATAAAAGAGGTCTTTGCTTAAGCTTGCGTGTCTTTTTTTACTCTTTGGTGGGGAGTTGCTCAGGTTTAAAATACAAGAAAACTCAAGGGTGGTGAGATTTTATTTGAAAACGTTTCAGCACTTCATTGTTCACCTCTTTCACCAATCAGATGCTTTAGGCAAGCCTGATGAACTGCTGAAACTAAACTTCAATCTTCAATCCAAGGAATTAGCTGTTCAGATGAACAAACTAAACTATTTATGTTCATTGTTAGGTGTTCTGTTATATTTTCTGCAAGTTGTAATTCAGTCTGTTTTCCAAATTTATAGTTACACATGTCCAGGAAACTTCCTAGGAAATTACATCACAATAAAGCATTACACACCCAATATCACAGTCTGTTCTAAAGCGGTCTCCATTTTGTAGGAATGAAACTCTAATGCACAGGTGCTGAATCCATTGTTTATCCACAAATGAACTGAATGATTAAAATAAACTCAATACTAAAACAAATGACACTAGTTATCTCACTACAGGTTGGAGGGGTATGAAATGTGGTCTATTTACAATGCATCTTCATCATCGTCACAGTGTATAAAATACAGCACCCATCGCCATGCCTGCATGGCCGCATCCGCTGCTTGCACCCCTAGTAACACTCACGGGATATTTCTCATTTTCCTGACTATATTTCCGTGTGTACTTTGACTTCAATCACATTTTCAATGCAGGACTTTTACTTGTAATGGAGTATTATTACAGCGTGGTATTAGTATTTCTGCTTAAGTAAAACATTGAATTCTTCTTCCATCACGCTCACCAGATTAATTTCTTTAACAAATGAGGGATCCGGGAGCTTGAGGCGAGACATGCAGCAGGTGACGCCTCAGCTGCTGAGCTGAATGTAAAGAAGCCTCCAGTAGGTGTCGCTGTCTGCAGACTGCACAGTCCGTTCTCTGGGCGCTTATTGGATAAAAGCGCCCGCGTCACTTCCTTCTTTCTCTTCGACCACTGCCATAGTGGGGAAAGGACAGTGGACAAAATGGTAAATACAAAATCTTTAAACATCCATGTCTGAAACCCCTGTAAACCACCACTGATACCTCAAGTGTTTAATAAATATCTCAGTGGTGCCTTATAAGTGTGTATGTTTGTCTGAAGTGAGCGTATGAGCGTGTTAAAACGGTTAATTGATGTTAGCTGTTAGCTTCTATGCCGTGCTACGCATGTTAGGTTCAGTTTCTCTCTGCAAATGATGTAAATACGTCAGTTTGAAAACTTAAAGATGTGGCTTTGGGTTGAAAAGTTGTTAATGTGTTGACATTGTGTTAATGGAGCTCTTTGTTGTTCTTAGTCGTCCCACAAGACTTTCAGGATCAAGCGTTTCCTCGCTAAGAAGCAGAAACAGAACAGGCCGATTCCTCAGTGGATCAGAATGAAAACTGGCAACAAGATCAGGTGAGTTTACTGTGTGTGTGTGTTTTTTTTTCTTTTCTTCTGTATTTGTTGTACTGTGTGCCAGATGAAAAGTAGCTGCTATGCATGGAAAGTAAGCAGTGGCCTTTTCACTGAGTCAAACATCTATGGGTCAACTCCAGACTCTGCAGAATTCAGTTCTGAAGTTAGTTATAAATGTCTTTTTATCTGCAGACCTAAAAACTAAAAGTAGGATTGTTGAGATAGTGCTGCAGAAGGCTGCTTCATCCTTTTTTGTGGAGTTTTAGTCAAAATCATCAGACCTGTAGCAAACACTCATCTATCTGCAGTAGCCAGGAAGCTTGTCCACTTATGGAAAAGTGTTGGTTTGGAGAAAACTCGTGTTGCCTTACTTGAATTTTTTAACTGGTTAAGCTATTGATGAATCACTAACTTTATTAGGAGTTATTGGTATGTCCTGCTGGGAAGTACTGAAAAAATGTGATAACTGTAGAATGCATTGGCCCTTTTGGTTTTCCATCCTACTTTAATACCAATATTCATTTAACTCCTGTATGCAGAATACAAACCTTGTGCAAAATTTAAAACTTTTTTTCCCTGTTTTTATATTGATTAAACAAGTCACTTCTCCTGCATATGTTCTAAATGTATTCATCCACTTACATTCACATTACTACACTTGTATTGTTTCTGAGGAACACTTAGCTTATGTTAATGCATTCTGGTAAATCAGCACTGCAGTAAACCCTACCCTCATTAAGGATTTAAGTCAGTTTTTCTTGAAACAGTTTAAGAGGTGTGTGTGGTAAACTTAATGTTAATTTAAGGAGGCATTATTCAGCAGTCAGACTTTCAAAATAGCCATAAATTGAACATTCACAGTTTAACCACCATCACGGTAGGATTTATTGCACAGCTGTGTTAGACTGCATGCAATAGTTAAGCTTGGTAGACCTTTTAAACTTGCACTGCTATATTTACTTGCAATTAACACTCACTCCATGAATAAATTTCAGCAGTAAGATTTTAACATGCATTGAAAAAGCTGTAGGGAGTGTGGAGGTGAAATCTTCTGAGAGTTTGGTGGCTGTTATAATGTTTTTGTTTTTTTGTTTTTTTTTTAAAATGCACTTCAGTATTGCTAAATTGTCTATACATTATCATTAAGTGCAAATATGAATGGCTCAGTGACTAATACAGGAAGTCCATGTCATGTAAAGCAGGTCTGCAATTGCAGCACTTCATTGCAGTAGAGTGCTGTCATTAACCCTGCTGAGAGCATCTTTCTGCTGTGGAGCTCTTACTACTCCTCACTGTGTTGGTGATGAGGAAGCTCTGTAGCTGAACATTGCACTGTTTGCTCAAACATCTGATTTGCCCACTTAATTGCCATCCTGAAGCATTTCCCTGGTATCAGCTTGTATCTGTAATTACTATGGTCGGGAACTATTCTCGTAATTGCTGCTGTGATTTAGTGACAGTGGACAGTCAGTTGTAGTTGTAACTGTTTCTTCAAAAGGGATCTACAAGTAGATTTTTAAGCATTTTTCATTCACTAAAGAATCATCAATCTTTGCAGTGACTAAATACTTATTACACAGTATGATGATGTGGTTGGTTTGTGGCCTCTGAAACTAGAGCAGCATCAACAGAATTTGCATGGTTTCAACTGAACCTGACCTTAATTTTACAATCTCCTTATCTGGATGTGCTTGGTAGTTTTGTACTATTCAGTCTTCACATTTTGGGGGTAATGATTAAGGTGGATTTATTTGTGGTTCTTTGGCATTTTATCCTTCAGTTTAGTATTCACCGATGAAATAAAGCTTAATGGCAAGAATTGCACAACCAACAGACTTCAGAGGTGATTGCAACAAGTTGCTATGTCTGCTTCGTTGTCTTATCATACAGCTCATGATGCAGAACTGTGTTTAATCACTTCAAATATATGACAAGCTTAATTTTTCACCCTTCATCTCAGATTAACAGTTGTTTGTATGTAGTAGCCACCAGGTCAGAATAAATTGATTCCTCCTGAGGTGAATGGTGAATTTAAAATTTTCCCTGTTATTTTTGTGAAAACTTTATTGCATTTGAGCATTTCCTTTGGTGTCTCCATAAATAGTTGCTGGCTGGAAAATGAATTGCTGACATGATAAAATTAACTTGCATAAAAATATGGGCAGCGCAGTTATTTTTACTTTTTTCTTACTGGGAAGGGGGGGTTAGTCGTATTGGACAGAGGTGGGGTTTTTGGTGTATAAAATTAAAGTCGTCAGTTAGCTTAGTTTTTGTTTTTTGCCTTTGTGAAAATCCAAATGTTCTTGACAAGTTTTGTCTTTTACATTGTTTCATTTCAGGTACAACTCCAAGAGAAGACACTGGAGGAGGACCAAGCTCGGCCTGTAAACATGAGGATCCTTGGATCCCAGTGTCCCTCCATCCCAACATCTGCCAGGACCTCCAGCTGCTGGGCCCGACCGCAGGGAGGGAGCCATGTTATCTCGTCATGTTTGATAATAAAAGATCTTTGATCAAACTTGAAATGTAGCTGTTGTCTGGTCTCTTCCCCCTGAACTATCCATTTACAGGCAGGTTTTTTTTTTTTTTTGTTTGTTTTTTTCGTTGAGTCAAACCAAACATCACATGGGGGGTGTAATGCTGACAGCTCTGCTATTCAAGAAGCCTAGTGTAGTAGCAAGACAAACTGTTTACTGAAAGTGCTCAAACTGGAGAAAAACATGGCCACATCAGCAACTACTGATATTAACTGTTAACGGACAGAACTGGGGCAGCAGCACAAAATAAAATAAAATAAAAAATTCAAAATATATTGTATTTCATTAAAGTTAGGTTCAGTGGGGTTTTTTTTTTGTTTGTTTTTTATTAGATGCAAAATAAAGGTTCCTTATTTATAGGGTTATGAGTATTTTTAGATTCTCTGGAAAGCAGTATTCAAACTGGATTATCCTGGAGAAGCAGTGCAGTGGTTCCCAAACTTTAGCTTGAGATGTCTCCAGATAGTTGTGTACTTAGTGACCCCTCATCAGTTATGGCTTCAGTGTGAACATGAGTTATGCTCAGTTTTCCTTCTTACATTGTTCGATTTTTACAGGTGACAGTATCGGGTATTTGTTACTTAATCTCCATTTTATCAAGTCTATGATTAACATCTCCAAGTACAGTAGAAATTTCTGATTCCAATAGAAAGTTTAGCAGAAATGAGTTTCTCTGTCTTTATATATTAAAAAAAAAAAGACAGGTTGCTGCTCTGGAATGAACAAAAACTTGATTTTCGAAGATACAGGAAATATTTACACACGAAGAAAAGGAATATTCATTTTTAAGGACTCAAGCTGCAAGTAAAAAATGACTTGGTAAGGAGATTGTGACCCCTCGACCCAGGTTGGCAACCACAAGCTTGTAAATTAAATGGGGAATAATGCAGATTATTGAATATATCAGCTTTTGTTTCCAAGAAATGTGTGCAGCATCTTCCTTAAAGACCCTAATCCCCAGCTGCCTCTCTTAGTCCGGTCAAAGAAGTTCACTTCATCTGTCTGTCCAGCATCGACCTCATCATGTGCGGTCAAGTTCATTGCGCCAGAGCTGCTGCTGCTGCTGCTGTTGTTGTTGACGTTTCTGTTGACATTTTGCGCACATCCGCAGCTGTGCTCATCATCCCAGGCCCCAAGCAGCTCCTTCATCTCCGGCGGGGCGTCTGCCCGCAGATACTGCCAGGCTCTTTTCCCGTTGTAGTCCATCGCATCGACGTTGGCACCGAAAGCTCCGACCAACAGTTTGATGATCATGTACTGTCCTTGCATACTGGCGACGTGCAGCGGGGTGAGGCCGCCGCTTCCCCGCAGGTTCACATTCACAGGGATCCCCGCACTCTCAGAGTAACGCAAAAGTTTGAGCAGGGTCTCGTCCTGTCCTCTCTTGGCCAACCAGTGCAGGACTGAGTACCCGCTGATGGGATCCTTCCTGGTTAACAAATGGGGGTCCTCAGAGATGAACTCCAGGATTGTCTCATAGTTTCCCTCCACCGCACACAGCATCCATGCGTGCTCCATCGGATACAAAGCCCAGCGTGCGTCCTGCTCGGAGGACACGCTCTGACTTTGTGAGGACAGTACGCTGCTAAACCCGCTGTGTGATGGGTTGCTCAAAAGCAACTCTTTGAGGTATTTCTTGCGCATAGCGGGTGTGAGCGACCCTCTCTCCGAAGCATCTCTCTGCAGACCTCCCGGTGTGGAGCCGTCAGCGACTTCTTGCTGCCTCTGCAGCCTCGACCTACGCTCGAAAGCACTGGGCATGACCTGCATGCCATTTCTCGACAGTCGCTCCACAACAGAGCGCTGTGTGAGTGTCCTGCTGCCGTGGGCGTCGGCATCGCTGACAGCTGGTTCAGATCCAGTTGAGTCACATCCAGCATCATCCGATCTGCTCTCATACATACTGCTTGGCTCTCTGTGCACGAGGAGTTCAAAGCTACTTCCTTTTATTTAGACAACACCCTGAAGATATCAGTCAAATTATAGCCCTTGGACGGTTTCCCTCCACTCCACTGGATTCACTCCCTGCACCATGGGAGATAAAGTTTATTTTTAAAGTATATATATATACACACACACGTCTAAAACATTTCATTAATGCATAAACACTATTTTAAGCGTCTTAAATGCAGATAGAGGAAGTTCCTCATTTTGCCAGTAAGATACGTTCATTTTATTCCTTTTAATCCCATAACATTTTAAATTTTGACAGTTTACATTTGTTGCACCCAGTCGCCCGTTTCAGACTGCTGCCAGTTCAATGTTACTCACCTGTTCTCTGGCCAAGGCGCATACCGACTCGCTTATAAAAGCACACACATACACCCGAACTGTATCAGCCAGTCAGCGTTTCAGTCCCCGTTAGCATTATATGCAAACTGATAAGTATAAGAATTGTTATTTTAATTAGTTATCCCAAATAGTGAGGCACAGATTCAATGCGAAATTCTCCTTTCGTTAACAAGAGGAACTGAGACAAAGTTCATTCTAATCTCTGGAAAAACCAATGACGAGAATCCCTCACATGTGACCACTGATGGACTTCAAAAAAGCAGGAAGTAATGCACTGAATATTTTCTTGCTACTTTTACAGCCTGTCACTAAAAAGCTGAGCTACAGACTGGATCAATGCAAATAAAGTAGACAGCAGGGATACATAAAAACAACTTTATTTCAGTGAAAATAAAAATGTAGTCAAAACAACAACAAAAAAACACATGCATTCACATTCAGTCAGTAATGGATTCTGGGGGAAGCTCAATAGTCAGCTCATCAAGTGTTTGAAGAAAGGCATCCAGCTCTGAGCAATAATCTGGAAGAGAAGTTAATGATACAGTAGGTTAATGATAACTGTAGTTAATGATAATTGTAGTTTCCAACCTGTGCTCCATACTTAAACCACAGTTGCCAGTTGACAGTAGCCGCATATTAAAGAGTGCTGCAAATTGTTTTTCCAAATGTGGCTCTTATTTGTAAATTTGGCCTTCATTCATAGCAGGATAACATTTCACTGTTTTGAACTATTACGCCACATAATAGTTTCTGCTATTTTCCCCAGTTTTGAGGTACAGTGTTTGAAGATAGAATAGAGTAAACACAATTTTGTTGGTTTAACAATCATGCATGGGACCAGACATGGACCTGGATTATCCACAGTAACCAGGATCATTGAGGAAATTTGCTGGTTATTTTTTAATGCAGTTAAGCAACACCATTCAACTCCAAAATGATTGTAAAATGGATGAACCAACCTATAACTCTGCTTTACTAGGGTTGAGTAACATGAAATACAAACAATAAGTTTGCACGTCAGATTCTACTATACCTTTAAAAGCTGATGGCATTTGATCATTGTAGTGTTGAAAATCAATGAGAACTGCTTTGTGGCAAAACTGGATTTTTTTAATTTATTTTTTTTATATTAGTTCACTGAAGTACCTTGATTTGTCAAGTGTTTAATTTGTGCATAAAATTATAATTTCATTGTTCCAGAAACAACCACCACAACCTATAAATGTTGCGATATAAAGTTGCATATACTGTATAGAGGATTTTAATCCATACCACCTATCATTGCATTAAACATACTAGATAGATAGATAGATATATATAGATAGATAGATATATATATATATATATATAGATAGATATATAGATAGAGATAGATAGATAGATAGATAGATAGAGATAGATAGATAGAGATAGATAGAGATAGATAGATAGATAGATAGATAGATAGATAGATATATATATATATATATATATATATATATATATATCCCCCAAGCCCCAAACAAATAAGTATGAATGTAGCTTTAATAGGACTTTGATACCTGAATGTTTTGGCATCTTTACAGGTGACAGGTCTGGGAGAGGAGCAAACTTTTCCAGGTCCTCCTCACACAGATGTGGAGCCTGTGGGAAACAGGCCAGTCCAGGAAGAGCAAAGCCACTGACACAAACCAGGTCTTCGGGTATGCTGTACTTCACAAACTCTACAGGGGGGAAAAAACACATTAGCAAAACCAATGGTTTAAAGTAAGAGTCCAAAGAGAGGAAAAAAGCCACACCAAGAGTGAATGAGGCTTATACATGTCGTCATTAACAAATTGCATTTGGCATGTGCAAGTTCTCTTGTACAGCCACCACAGATTAGCATCAATGGGCTGAGTCCTGAGGGAATAAACCATTAATGGACAAAGCTAATGTCATACTGCAGTTGGGATTTACACATTATGTAATTTCTGATTAAGGAGCATTTTTCATCTAATGCTCATCTATAAACTTGTATTACTGTAAAATATGACCTTTGGTAGAATCAAAAAGGAAAACGAGCTCAACTGTGAAACTGTTACTAGTGAAGGTGACCTTTACCTAGTGGGTCATAAGGGATGAACTTCTCAATTTCTGGATATTCCTCCACTTTGGTTTGAGCAGCATTATTGACTTGGGTTTCCTGTGGAACAAAATATAGTGTTAGTGCATCTATAGTTTGAGGTATAGAGCAAATGGGTTACTTCACAGCCTGCCATTAGTTTTAAATAATAAATCAATAATAAATATTAAATTAATAGATGATGGGCTATTCCGACCTGTGGCTTTAGTAGTTTCTTCTCTTGTACGTTGACAGCCGGGGTTAGGTTTTTTTTGTTGACAGTACCAAAAGCCTTACGACCAGATGGCAGAGGGGTGTTTAAGGTTTTGGCAATCATAGGAGATTTCAAAAGTTTCTCTGGTAGGACAAAGAACACAGGATATTGCATATTTATGCACAGACCAATATTACTGCTTTAAGAAAAAAAAAAAAAAAAAAAGATCTGAGCACAACATTGGCATTTTCATACCTGGGGCAGACTGAAGTCGCTGTCGCATCTTAAGTGTAGGTGCGTGGAGATGTGCATTTTCCTGCTCTGCAAAGATTATGTTGGCCATTGTATCTGAAAACACAAGCTGATATTAGCATCTCACCCCCAACATTCAAATAACAGTAAAGAGCACTGACACTAATGGCCAATCTGGCAGCGTTACAGGCAGGTAATAGTTGTTGCTGGCTAACATTAGTAATTAGCTTCCAATCTGCTGAGATACAAGCTTGTTGTCTCGTCTTTATCCAGGTTTTTCCATTTAACTTCACTCTACTGTCTTGCTGCATGTCCTGCCTTTAGCACAGTTACATGTTTTGACATGACAGCGACTAAAGAAACGTGATACAAAATCTGTGTGATTTTTGCAAACATAGCGTAACATTTGTGGCTAGCCAGCACCATACTGTTACAAGCAGTTTAGAAGAGGAGTTTTAACTAGTTTTAAAAAGCCAACCGTAAACATAACCAATCCGCTGCCATTTAAGACTTTATTGAGGTTAACTTCGATTGGCTCAAAGTCAATTTAACTCGGTCGAGTTAATCAACCGTTGATTTGCGTAATCAAGCCGAATATCAGTTAGCTAGTTAACGTTAGTCGTGTGGCGTATTCGCTGGTTACTAAAACTTACTGGTATGAAGTAAAAGTGCTGAGAAATGCAACAATAACTCTGATACACCGCTGTTAAGTTTACCGTAGCTGTGCTGAGCGATGCTGGTTGCTCCTTGTTGAGAGATCAGAGAGTTGTTTTCATATGAAGCTGTGATGTTGACCAGCGACCGCGTTTCCTTTTTAAATTCGTTGTCGTCGTCCTATTGGTCGCTGTAACACCACAATGACTTCGATGGGCGTTTCTCAAACTGTGTTGCCATTTTATTATAAATAATATACAATGATATATCAATATCCCCGATAATTTACACTTTATATAACCAAAACATAGGTAAATAAATAATGTCTATTTGAAAACATATTCCTCCTCATCGATCAATAAAGACCTTTCTACTCTTTTTTTAAAAAAAAAACTTTATTGACAACGTAAAAATAACAAGTGTTTAAAGGCATCAGACAGAGCGAAATAAAAGTCCAGTTAAGAAAAGAGTTACCATGACACTATGTAATATTTTAATTTACCAGAGGTTTTAAGATCGATCAAAGTCAGTGGTCATATTTTGCAGTCTTTTGCTATTTTTTTCTCTCCATGAAGTTTAAGGATGTAAGGAAGTGACAAAAATTCTCTATGAACGGTAAGAAAGGGTGATTTAGTTTTCCCAAATCTTGATATATGCACATATAATTTAGCAAGTATGATAATAATGTTTAGGACTAGTTCATGTCCTTGCCTATACAAGATAATATAAAAATGACATCTTCCCTTGTAAAATCAGTCAGCTCAAGTACCCTAGAAAACAACCAGTAATGAACATCAACCCAAAATGTTTTATAGATTACAGTCATAAAACAAATGATCTGTTGACTCTATCGCTGCTAAAGGAATTCCCCTAAGGTATATATCCTATTCCTGTAACAGTTTTTGAGTGAACTTGCTTAGATTTTGGAATTGGGGTTTAATATAATTAGTAATGTAATTAGAAAACTTGAAATTAGAGGTAAATTCAATGTAATTCCTCAATTCATCAGCTCATTTTCACACATATGTATGACACGTATATAGGAAAACAAATGCCTTATGGACAATAACACAACATTAAGGACAAGCACTAAACACTAAATAGGTGCAAAAAAACAAAAACTGTACATTACCATACACAGACACTACAAATTAACAGCAACAACTTGGCTCATTAGCAGATGCTCATCTGTAAAAATGTGTAAAAATGTGAACAAGATGTTTGTTGCGGACATTACTGTGAACAAATGAGGGTTGCTTCTTCCAAACAGTGCACTGGATTGTAAGACACAGAGAGTTGAAGTAATGTGTACAGTCATTACTGTGCATGTAGTGGATGCAGGCCTGTATTGCCCATGGGGAGGATTGAGTTGGTCTGGGTGTTGTTACAGTTCATAGGAGGGGTGTTGTTTATTTTATTTTACATAGTATTACGATTTGACTTAGAAATGTCTTTACTCTTGGATTAACAAAGTTCTGTCTTATCTTACATGAATATTTTTCTCCACTGTGTAACATACATACAAATACAATATGGGATCAGTGCTGTATGCAATGTAGGGATGATAAACATAACGAGGCCATCAACTAAATCAAAAACAAATCAAATTTCTATTGAATTAATCTTAAATTTTGATTGAATGTAGAGAAATCCAACTAGTCCAAAGCACATTTTTTGGTTTAGCTACTCGCTTCTAAATAATCATTAGTTCATTGACTGCGGTTCACTGCCTTTGTCACAGGAAGAGACCATGCAGGCATCCTGTGGGGGAGCTCAGTGGCTAGTGCTCATTAAACATTATCATTTCAAAATATGAACGGGTGTGAATCTGGCGTATTTTTAATTTACATTTGTCTTTGTTTAACAACATTCAGCATTAGGAACGGTATCAAAATATCATACTTAATAATATGTAAAATAGCCTGTTGAACAGTGGTACATTCCCACTAGGCTTCCTTTGCTAAAGAGCAGCAAAGGTTTCGTCCTCCAGCTAACGGCCACAGCCATGGCGTCAACTGAGATAGCAAGGCAAGCGGTGAGTAGCCCGTTTTATCAGGATGCCGTTCTCACTGTCATCACACATCTCATGAAATATCTTAGCTAATCTCAGCATATGTTGAAAAAATATATTTTATCGCGTTCCTTCAGTGAGTGCAATGTGGAGAATTAGCTGGTCACAAACCGTTTTCCTGCCTTTATTCCATCCAAAATTCAGTGTAGCGTAGCTAAATTAGACCAGTTATAGTCGCTGGTAGCTATTACAAACCCTATTATGCATTTCTACATATTCTAAAACAGCCAATTTTAAAGTAAGGCCCAGTGTTGCTCGTCGTAGCTCTCTGTTAACACATTTTCAATCTAATATTTTCAATTATATAAGCTAATGCCTGCAAATTTCCTATGCTGGTATCGTTAGCTAAAATTGCCTTTCAAACGAAATTTTGTTCTGTGAGGTGAAATTTTTTAAAACTGTGTAGTACAATCTCACGTTAAAACGATAACGTATTAGTGCCATCGGTAGGCCATTCATTCTGAACGCCCCCATTTCAGTACAGCTACGGTGCTCATTTCCGTTGTGTTGTTTCATGTAAGTCCCGTTAACTTTGAGTCGGGCGTTGTCTGGTGTACATAGGAAATGTTGCTAAAACAGACTCTAGCTGCTTATAGGCATTTAGACCTACAATTTGAAAAGCATGTGTAAAGTTTGCTTGGTTTTTGTTTTGGGTTAAAACAAAAAGAGGAAGCCACTATACCCATAAAGAGTGCTCAGAATAGCAAGGTTTTTGCAATTTGATGTCCCTCTGCGGCTCTGTGAATGAAAACCCGCAGTGTGTAACTTGGCTGTGAGTGTCTTGAAAAGCAGGAATGGTTTCAGGAATGTTGCACTTGCAGCTGAAGAGTATAGGCTGTTTGTCAAGTAACATTACCCCAAATACTCAGCTGTTTAAACCCAATTTCAACTATCCAAATAATCCACAACTGTTTAACACCATCAGGGTGTCCAGTTGTTTTAAACTGACCCTCTAATGGAACGTTTTTATCTACAATCCTTCACCACAGTGGAAAGCAACACTGTGTTATGTTAAGCCACATAATGGCAGGTTGGCTGAGGTTTAGCTGGTTGAGAGCTCTTGCTTATGCCATATAATCTAAATTCTTTTGCTTTCCTGCACCTCATAATGTAGACGTAGGCTGCAGAAATGAGATTCACAGAGATGGAGGTGTTCGCTGCCAGCCACACGCCCACACACACATGTAACAACAGTGCTTTTACACTCTGGTGTTTAGTGTCACTCTAGTCCAGAGATGGTCTGCACAATAATGGTAGAGTGAATGGAAGTGCAACTGGCCAAAAATGGATAGTTTTAGGGTTCAAATCAGAGTGACGCCACAGGACTACACAATGCTGTCTATGTTAAGAGCTATGGCTCTTATTTCGTCATTTTTATAATTTCACATTACTAGATTTTAAATTATATATTTACTCTCAAAGCTGTTTGTTGTTTTTACAATTATCTTGATATCAACAGTGACACTTTTCCTTATAAGTACATTGTGGTTTTTGTCTCGACTAACTGTCTCGACGGTGGAAAGAAAGTCGCAGCTCAGGAAACAGGAAGTCAGTTGCACCTGAAATCAGTCTAACATGGTCACATATGGTGGAAATTGTGTCTAGTTTGTGTGTTATTCAGTTATAAAATGTTACTTTTTCAAAGAACAACAATCACCAAGATGTAAAATGAAATTACAGAGTGTTAAAGGGTGTCTTGTACATGTTTTAAAGTGTGAGAGCATGGTTTCTTAACAAGGCATATCAATTCTTAAGCTGTTAAGTTATTGCTAAGTATTTAACTGATGTTACATGTTGATTTCATTTGTTTTTAGGGTGAAGGGGCTCGTGCTGTCCCTCTGGCAGGCCATGTCGGCTTTGACAGCATGCCTGACCAGCTGGTCAACAAGTCTGTCAACCACGGATTCTGCTTTAACATCCTCTGTGTTGGTGAGTGTATCATGCGAGAAAATGCTTTTCCTCTTCCTCCTCAGGCTAAAAGATGACTTAATGAAAGTCAGGCTTTATCACAAGATGCAAAGCAGTTTCCTCAATATTTGAGCTGCTGAGATTCCTCAATGTTGGTTACTGTGATAAGTATGATGTTCTCATTCAGATAGGAAATTCAGAAGTGTCTACAGGCAGTCATTTGATTTTAGTATGACATTATTCATCAGCAGTACTAGCAGCAACCTTATTTATACTGTATATTTGAGTATCCTATGCAGAATATAAGCCTCTTGCAAGATGAATGTTTGCCTCTATATTGACAAACGAGTCACTTCAGCTTCATTATGTGCTAGAATTATTCACTCACATACACTGAGCTGCCAGTTTATTAGGTGCACCCAGTTAAAACTAATGCAATGTAATACAACAGTCCTGCAATAAACCATAGCTTTTTGAAGGAGGTAATGTTAGGTTTGTGTGGAAGCTGTTTTAGAGGGATATTGATTCAATGTTATGGTCATTTTGGAGGCTGTAGCTTCTGATGCTGTTTAAGAACATTACGTTACACAGATGGTGTTACCGATTACAACGGCCGTTTTACAAGAAAAGACGGGACAGCTTAATATCTGTAAATTAGAATTTGTGTAACCAGTTGATATCTAGTGTTCTACTTCATCTGCCTTTTGTTTGGTAATGTTTTATTTCTTTTTCATTTGTTTTATAATATACAGACTTGCAGAAAGCAAATTGTTGTAGCACTTTCTGCACTCTTGATTTATAGTTTGTAGATCAACTTTACTGATTTTATTTTTAGTCTTTACTACTGGTTAGAGAGCAGTAGACAGTGTTCACCATTTCTGTTTCTTTAAGACCTTGTATGCTATTTATTTCTGTGACATGTTATTTAGAGCACTAGTAACATTAACACAATCTGTGTTTATATTTTTAAAGATTTTGATGGTAGGAAATTCCTGGTGGCCATTTTTAGTGGCATGGTTTTGATCCCCCTCCAAGCTAAAAACATCTCTGTTATTTTGTGGATAAACTGAGGCCATTTTTATTTGTGTTGCAGTGAAAAGTGGAAAAGGCTAACACTTGTGTTTTTTCATAATTTAAACAAACTTACATCATAGCTACCTTATTATGTTGCCCACAATCTGATTTTCTTAACAACCTAGACAAACATTAGTACAATCCATTAAAGAATATGGAAGAAAAGATGATGCAGGAGACTAACAGCTTTTGTTGTCTTTTTTAAGTAGTACACACATTGCTTGAGGCAAAGAAATGTGGTCTTTGGGATTTATAATTTGGTTGTAGTCTAAAATTATGGAGTGAATCAAAAATGTTAATATTTATTGTTCCACTGGGCTCAAAAAATCTACATTTACACAGACCTTTTTTGTTATTTGTGATTTCATAAAAAATGTTTGGAAATGTTAGACATTAGTTTATATTGTAATTTCCAACATGGGCCTGGAGCTGCTCCATATAAGATACCAAATTGCCTTCAGCATGAGAGAGATCTCCACAGTGACTTAAACTGAGTTTAGAAACAGCAAAGAAGACTTGCTGCAACACATACTTCTTTAATTCTGAAGGAAAGATTGGAAACACTGCAAGATATCCTACAAAAAATGGCTTAACATGCTGAGAGTGTAGGTCAGGCCGTGATGAATAAAAATAGCTTTTCTTACAGAGGCAGGGCTGAATCTGAGTCGTCTGACAGCGAATTGATGTCAGAATACATTAACTTCTGTTATTTTTGTGCATCCAAACATTTGAAAATGATATATTTTGTTTGAGGCATCTTTAGAACGTCATATTGAATCTACGCTCGCTCTATTAAACACAACTGTAGTCTTTCTGTTTTATTTGTTTTATTGAATAGATGTTCAATAAAAGCATCTTACTATCCGTAAGCTGATAAACTTGTTTAGAAGTATGCAGGCTCAAATGATTTACATTTCCAGCTAAGTGTGAAGGAAACCACTTCACTGATTTTAATCACGTAGTAAAAAGAGCAACCGATGACTGGGCACAAGATCAAGATTTGTAGGATCCCAGTAACAGAAACACTTTTTCTGTGTAACCTAGGTGAGACGGGTCTGGGGAAGTCCACTCTGATGGACACGTTGTTCAACACCAAGTTTGAGGGGGAGCCCACCCAGCACAACCAACCGGGAGTCACACTCAAGTCCAACACCTATGAACTCCAGGAGAGTAACGTGCGCCTCAAACTCACTGTTGTTAACACCGTGGGCTTCGGAGACCAGATCAATAAAGAAGACAGGTAAAGAAGTCTGGACAACTGTCACATCTCTGAGAGAGGGAAAGGTCTGATCTGTGCTCTCTGGGTTATTTTATATTTTGTCTTTGTGAGCTGTATTGCAACTTGTAGTCAGAAATCCAAAGTTGACTGTGCACACAGCGTTCCTGACATACAGAGACTCTTGTGAGAGCTTCAAGCCTTCTCAGAGCTCACGTTTCATTCAGTCTTGATCCTGCAAACATACCCTTAGGATGTGGAATCAGGTCTCCATCTGAAGTAATTTCATAGTATCAAGTCAAGTTTAAAAGCATAAATTGGATGTAGATGGCTTTCTTTCCTGGTTTGAATGGTATATCACAGCACTGGTTCCGCTAGATTTTGTTACCAAGCTTGCCCTCCAAGATGTAATTGCCAACTCTGCTCCTGAGGCAAATTTAGGGAGAGAATAATATCATGTGAACCACCTGTAAGCTCTTTATAATGGGAAGGCTGCGGTTGTTTCCAGGTTTCACACTCCACTATACGAGTAGGTATCAGATTCCTACATAAAGAGGAACCATTAAAGGGCACATTGTGCCTTCATCTAATCAGTGTAGCTGCACTTCTGATATGCTGTAACTGTAATGCTTTGCACAGATTCAGATGACTCTAAAAACACTATCGTTTAGTAGCAGAACAGGACATGTTCTAATACACAGAATATGAGTGAAGAAATGCTTAAAATTGTCCATGTTTCTGTGTTCCCTTTACTGACAGCTACAAGTCCATTGTGGAGTTTATTGATGCCCAGTTTGAAGCATATCTACAGGAGGAACTGAAAATCAAGCGCACGCTACACAGCTACCATGACACCCGCATCCACGCATGCCTATACTTCATCGCTCCCACAGGACACTCGCTCAAATCCCTGGACTTGGTGACCATGAAAAAACTTGATAGCAAGGTGAGATTCACTTCACTTTATCAAGCTATTATCATCAGCCAGAAGCCATGTTTATATCTTTAAGTTAGCAGCAGAATTTGTTGTTGTTTGATGTGGAAGCTTGGGGATATGAATTCTTGGTGTTATCCATCAGTTCCAGATCAATCCCAGCTCGTGTTGGGGTTTGAAAATGATGTAAAAGCATTATACAGTTCATTTGCAGTTGTGTAAGATTTACAAGTTTATTAGCCATGGTGCCTGAATTGTTAATTTTAGCATTAAGTGAGAAGGACAGTTGCTCTGCAGCAGAATGATGTTAAAATAAAATGATAAATTAACAGTTACAAAGCCTGTGAACATGGATTAGCTTGCTGTAGCACGTCAGAGATAGAGTAGGTAAATCCCTTGGCACTGCATTGCTGTTTGCAGCATTTGATCTATCCACTCTAGTCATGGGTCATAAACCTTTTTCAGGGCTTCTGCCTGCATGTAAATTGGCTCTGGTCTTGTTACTGCATCGGTGTAGGTCAGCTGTGAAATGTAGTCAGTTCAGTGACTGCTGCCTCGTTTTTGTGAGGTCCTTTCCACAGTAGCTTATTTGCATGGACCTCCTGGCTTTTGTACAAAGAGCCAGCTCAGTGTTTGCCAGAGCAGCTGTGCCCTCCAGCAAGCGCTCACAACAGCGTGATCCAGAGCAGAGCCTCCTCTGTTTACACATTCACCTAGGGGGGGCGTTCAAACAATACTCTGCTGAAGTGTCTTTGAGCAAGATCCTCGCCAGACTCGGAGATCCAGTAAAATATTTTTGTTCACATGACCCTCAGCATCCCTTGCTATCAATTAAAGGGGCCCACATTTGGAGAGCAAATAATGTGGGATTGTGTAGGTGACATGGCACTGCCAAAATAGTTGTGTGGGAGTGAGAGCCTCATTTTTCATCAGCCAGTTGTTAGTGCATATATGAGAATGACCCTGCCTGTTATTTTCCCTCCTCCCTATCTCTGTGTGTTTCCTTTTCTGTTTAGATTACATGGATAGCATAAATGTTGTTGAAATCATTTGAGTCTGAGTCGTAACACCATGTTTGGAGAGCTTTTATGTGCTATAGAGCAGGAGATGGGAGTCTGGTGCTCCCTTTGCTGCTTGTACTATTTTTATCCATGTGCTTAAGAATGTGTAATTGTCTGCATTACACAAAAGCCTGATTTACAGAGATCCTGGTGAAAAGGGCACTGGTTATTCAAATTAGTGCTACAGTCATGGGCAAGCAGTGATTGGAAGTGGTAAAAGAAATAATTAGAGGTATATTTTATTCTGTTACTTAACCTGAAAGACCAGAATTATTTCATTTGTAATGTGTTTCACCATTTGGACCTTTTTAAAAATACACCAACTCTTTTCCAAATTTGGACTACAGAAATGGAGGTGAGAAAAAGACAGACAGTTAGAAGCCACTCTATATTTAGCTGCATATCTGAAGGTGCTGTCTACACCTTGTCATTGTGTCAGCCTACATTAAATCTCATCATTTTTCAACTTGCAGGTCAATATAATCCCAATCATTGCCAAGTCAGATGCCATCTCCAAGAGCGAGCTGGCCAAGTTCAAAATCAAAATCACCAGTGAGCTGGTCAGCAATGGAGTGCAGATCTACCAGTTCCCCACTGATGACGAGTCTGTGGCAGAGATCAACTCCACCATGAACGTAAGGCTCACAACTGGTTCTCTATCTGCATTACATGCATTTACACAGAATATGGTGTCATGGTGGTGGCATGAAGTCATATCATGTTGGTAAGACTGAATCCTCTTTTTAATCTTTAGGAAATACAGCGGCACACATTATTCCTAGTTTCTAAGTTCAACGTAAATTCTGTTATGTGGTACCGGCATAAACAACATGTGATGCAGAATCAGGACAGTCATCGTCTGTGTCTGCTCAGGCTGTCAGGAAGCTGCCCCACACGGGGAGGAGCGTGTTTAGAGCAGCACAATCAGCCCGCTCACTCTGCAGGAAGCCTGCAGTGTGGGAAAGGGCCTGTATTCACTGACGGATGAACCAAGGCTAACTTAGCTGTTCATGACGTCTCATCAGTGGAAATGCCTTAACTCTCCCTAACTGATTGTGTTAGACTGTTGCCTCTCGGCTCTTGTTGTACAGTCTGACCTTGTCATACGTTTTCCTTTCAGAGCTGTATCTTGGTGTCTGTGAAAAAACAGCTCATGTAAATACAATAACACATTTTTCTCAGTGACGTTACAACTTCTTAGGAATTAATCATCAGCTGTGTGTAGGCTTTGTCCTGATGTGTAAATGAGATAGTTGTAGTAATACTTAGTATTTTTTGAGTTAATGAAATGTTAGTAGAGCTGCAGCGAGTACATGTGCAGTTTTGTTAGGGACAGATGGTGGCTCGTAGAGAGAATTTTAGGTGAACCCACTCAGGTGTTTCAGGTTTGACAGTATACCGATATTGATTTTCCGTCTGCCTCACAGAGCCATTTGCCGTTCGCTGTGGTGGGGAGCACAGAGGAAGTGAAGATTGGGAACAAGATGGTGAAGGCCCGGCAGTACCCCTGGGGGACCGTGCAGGGTAAGCCTGGGTCACATCCTGTGCAGGAAATGAGTGTGCTCCCTCTTGTCAGAGCTGCTACCGCTACTCCCTCCCCTTATATTTCTCCTCAGCTACATCAGCTGCTGCAAACTAGTTGATAACCAGTTATATAATCTCATTTAACTGGAGCACCCTCTCTGACATTACACTGAGTGTTAGTGCACCAGCAGATCCTTGCTTAAAGCTCTTGCAGATTTAGTGATTTTATGTCACTGATGACGTTTCAATTGATTTCTTATTGACCTACCTGATCAATCCATAATGGACTGTATGTAATGTATTGCCAGTAGACAGCAGTGTCAATACTTCTGTTGGCTCATAGAGGATCTGAAATGTGTGGGAATATAACTCAAGTTACACTGATTTTTAGCTATTTGATTTGATTTTCAGCCTCATACTGCGCAGCTTTTAAATGTGTGTGTGTGTGTGTGTGTGTGTGTCTGTGTCTGTGTCTGTGTCTGTGTCTGTGTCTTTACGCATGTATGGTGTTTTGGGTGGTTTGCCAGGACAGGGCTTATCCAGCACATAGAGCTTAAATGCAATGCAGTCCATAATGATGTCGACAGTATTGGTTTTGGTTGTGTATAGGGCTGCAACTTTATTTTCATATGCGATTGATCTGCCGATCACTTTCTTGATTAGTTGATTAGTCTATAAAAGGTCACAAAATAATATAAAAATGCTGATCAAAATATCCCAGAGCTCAAGGTGACATCTTTTAAAAGTCCAGAACCCAAAGATATTTAGTTCTTAATGATATAAAACAGAAAAATGCTGGATCCACAGTATGGTTGGCTTTTTTGCCTGATGACTTTAATGATTAATCAACTCTCAAAATAGTTAATTTTATGCTGACTGACTACTTGATTAACAGTTTCAGTTCTAATTTTGTACTCTAGGAAATTGGATTTAAAATGTATTGTTGTCTCTGAGGTTGAAGTGGTGACTGTCATTTGTTTTCGCTTGTTTGCATCCACTTCAAATGATCAGTGTAGAAACTGTAGCACCAGCACAGGGGAAACAGGGCTGTGATTTCTAAGCTGTTTACCCAGTGTGGATATGAACACCTTCAAACAACCCTAAAGCTAAGTTAGCACTTTGACCTCACAGTCATTGTTTCATTTGAAATTCATTGTGCTGCATTACAGCCGAAACAATGAAAACCATATCACTGTCCTAATGCTTACGGACTGCACTGTATAATATTTCTGGGCGTAGGCTTTATCTGACATTGGGTCTGTTTACCACAGACTGACTGCGTGCATACATGTGTACTCACATGATGTCACACGGTCTGTGGGAGTGTGGTGCTCAACTCAGTCAAGTAACAAAATCAATAGATAAGCCACAGGAAATGAGCACTACTCTGTTTTGTGTTGGTGCTGCTGGTATGAATGGGCCTGTGAATGCTTCTACATTAAATTAGATTATTAGCTGTGACACAATATGAACCTTAATAGATGCAAGTGTTTCTGATTCTGCTGCTGTGCTCTTTCTGCAGTATATTTAACCCATAATGAACAAGATACCATCTGATGTGTTATGTAAAATGTGTCATGTGTCACTATGATGTGTCTATCACAGTGGAAAATGAGAATCACTGTGACTTCGTCAAACTGCGAGAAATGCTGATCAGGGTGAACATGGAGGACCTGCGAGAGCAGACTCACACACGCCATTATGAGCTCTACCGGCGCTGCAAACTGGAGGAGATGGGCTTTAAGGACACAGACCCTGACAGCAAGCCCTTCAGGTTGACTTGGATTTTCTTTTATCTTCTTGCTTTCTACCCACATCAGCTTGTTTCTATTTTGTTTGCTGTTTGATATTGTATTTCTCTGCTTCCATTTATCATTGTAACTTTTTATTCTTTGGCTTGATTGCACCAGTTTGAGTTTTTGTCTGCTTAGTTCATGTTGCAAAGTTCAGTGTAGTGTTTTTCTTATTCATTTTTATTTCTTTTCCTCTGCCAGTCTGCAGGAGACGTATGAAGCTAAGAGGAACGAGTTCATGGGTGAGCTGCAGAAGAAAGAAGAAGAAATGAGGCAAATGTTTGTCCAAAGAGTCAAAGAGAAGGAGGCGGAGCTTAAAGAAGCAGAAAAAGAGGTATCATTATTTCACTTGAACCTTACCCTATCATGAAACCATGCACTAATCTTTGTTTAAGGTCTCTGCTCCCGTCTTCATTAATACAAAAATTACGTTTCCTCTGTCCCTGCCATGTAGCTGCATGAGAAGTTTGACCGTCTGAAGAAGCTCCACCAGGACGAGAAAAAGAAACTGGAGGAGAAGAAGAAGTCCCTGGACGACGAGCTTAACACGTTCAAACAGAAAAAGACTGCGGCAGAGCTCTTGCAGAACCAAGCTCAACAGGCAGGGGGCTCCACCACACTCAAGAGGGACAAAGAGAGGAAAAAGTAAGTATTGCTCTCTTCCCCCTGTGTCTCTATCCTTACACCACAGATGCAGGAGACCACTTTTGCTTGTATGAGAATCAGAAAAGTCAGCATGCTATGAACCTGGGTGGAACAAGGCCTTACATTACTACACAGACACATATAAATTGTTTCCAAGCCGTTGGGGTTCATATTTTATACATCATACTTTGTTCCTTGCCAGCAAAATGTGTAGCTGTGTCCTGACAAATATGTAAACTCCTGGAGCTTTCAGTCCACACTATGCACATCTGCTGCTGAGGGAGGTTTATTTTGGTCTGTGCCATTAATATCATCAGTACCTCTTGTTTCTCTGTCACCACTCATTTATAAACCACCTGAGACTTTTATAATTTCTAAATACAGCAGATAGAGCCCCTGGCTAAGTCTAGAAATTCTCTCAGATTCTCAGTCTGCCCTTTATATCCGAAAGGCAGATGAATGCTCTAGTTTAGGCTATAATAACAGAGAATACAGTTGGCAAGCTGACCAGAACTTAAAATCCATTACCAATTTGGAAAATTAAGAGGGGCAGAGAGGGGGGAGTCTGGGGATAATTACATGCAGTCCTCATCTAAATAGTTAAAAAGCCAGCTGTCGAAGAGGTTGGTGAATGAATTCCAACCAGAAATCATCACTCTGCAATTAAATGTTGCTGATGGCTCAAGCAAAGCAGGTCGTGAAATTAGATACTAAAAAGAGATGTGTGTAAACAATTTTATTGCAATTTGTTACTAATTAATCCATAGTTGCATTAGAAAAGGAGCTGATAAATTAAGTCAATTTTTTTCCAGATCACAGTTCGTAACTGTTTCGGTTGCGTCATTGAAATTTCATCAGTTAGTAGTCTCAATGGCCAATACCCTGGTGTTCATGTGTCTATATAATCTCTCCATTTCTTGGTATTCCTGACGTTGATTCTCCTGTTCCCTCTAACAGTTGATGTTTATATGTTTTAATGAAATCATGACTGTACAGGAGGCAGTGTGTGCAGCCAGGTGTGTTCCAGTATGGTTGCAATGTGCTGCTGACATTGTTGGTGCCTTCATGTTGGTAATGAACTCCTGGTTCTGTGTTAAAGCTGATGTGACTCCGTGCCTGTTAGAAAAGGAAGAAGACACTTGCACTGAGAAGGTTCTTGTTGCTTTATTTTTCTTCCCTGTTAATTTATTCTCTTCACAGCCAACTTCTTCTCTGTATGAGCTCTGCCTGGAAAATTTCTCTTCTAAAAGTGGCAACTGTTCAACTTTAACTTTGTCTGTGGGTCACTGATTAAAACATACTACAGAGGTCTTGCACTTGAAATGTTAACTGAATAATAATGATGTTCATGTGTCAGGTTACAGTTAGTGTTTTCTTCAGTCCCCAGCAGACACAGTTATTGATTACTGCCTGTTGTGTAGATGTGAATCTGTGTTGTGAGTGCATGTGTCACCTATGTTGCATCCATAATGTTTTCCAGTTAACTCCTCCTACACTTGATGCATGCTGCATGAGGCACCTTTCCTGGTAAGACTCCCTTCTTGAGTTACACCACCACGAAAACGGCTATGAAAAATATAAATGAGGTATCACTGATTGGTTAGACAGAAATCTATGAATGAATAAAGAAATATTTTTAAATGCTAGCTAGAATAAGATGATTATAATTAATTTACATGCTGAAATAAAGCTCCAAAGGCAGCATTTCAACCCTCAATATCTAATCCATTATATGGATGCTCTCAAATTTAGAGTTGCAGCAATTAGTCCATCAAAAGAAAATTAATCTGCAATGATTTTGATATTTGATTAATTATTTTTTCAAACAACAATTGAAAACGTTTGATTTAAAATATAATCTAAATTCACATGCAGTTGATTTTCCCATTAGAGTTGTTTAAATGTAATACGGTCTGAGAAATGCGTGCGGTGTTGCAGGCCTACATTGTATCATTGGTAACATCCGCATCCATCATATCCTCTTGCTGGCAGTGTTTACTGTCCCTGTGCCAGCTTCTAAATCAACCACTTTATTATATCCCCACACAAGCATTTGATGTACTTCCCCATCTGCCTCCCTAAATCCACAACAGTCTCCTTTTTGTGGCCCTCCCGGGTCCTTCCCCACCCGTTCCTGCTCTCACACAAAGAGCCATTCAAGGCTGAACTGGGACTAACGGGTCACACCAGAGGAGCAAACAGCCTCAGGGCCCATCTCTGTTTATAGACATGACATGTTTTGTTGATCTCACAGCCATATGACGACCCCCCCCCTCAGCCACCTCTCCCTCTTGAGTGGATACAAAAGCGAAATCCACAGAGAGAGATGCTGTTGAGGCCCGACCAGTGGGGAGGGTAGAAGTGAAGGAAGACATCTGTCTCGCAATCTGTAAACTCCTCAAGCAGCTCAAGACTGTTACAACAGATGAAAACAAGCTGCTGTTTGATGATACTGAGCAATGAGGAAGACAATCGGACTCATTGTTTAAAGCTTGGGGACTCAGGAGCAAGAAAAAAAATCATTTATTAGTCTGATTCATAGAAGGAGATGATTGTGTTTGCACCCTCACCTCTGTAAACTCGAACCTTTTGAGCTGCCTTGAAAGCATGATGTCCTCTAAATACCATCTGTTGTCACTAATGTTGATGTGATGTCACCCATGTGAAATAGTGTGTGTCGTGATGATGTTTTAACTCAAAGAAAGCAATAACAGCCCTTCTCTCTCATTTCCAGCTTAGGATCCCTGTAGAAAAAGTGCTCCCTTGTGGCCATCCTGCTGTGAATGAGTTTCCACCCCATCATCCTTTTACTGTACCCCTTCCCCACCCTCACCCAACCCCCATAATTCAACCCTCCATGTGCCCCTCTCCCTTGCTCTGTGGAAGACGCTGGGCATTGCTATTAGTTTTACATCACTTGTTTTTGCTGAATGATGCTTGTGTATTATTTGGTTTGTACAAGCGATTATTCAGCTTGTCTTTTTATACAAATTGACAAAAAAAAATGCATTCCATATTTGTTTTATATTCAGTGATTCATTGCATGATGGAGTGAGCTTTTTTAATATTAACATACATGACTACTGTTGTGATGAGCAAAAATGTATTGAGTCTAAAGAGGAACATGCATCAGACACTGGGACCTGAGAGGTGTAGCCAATATGTGGTCAAAGACCTGCCGTAGAGTTCAGTGAAGAAAGAATTAAGACAATTGAGACTGATGCAAGGATGGATTAAGCTGATGTTAACTCAATGCAACAGCTGTCTCTGCAATAACTGTATACCTTGAGACTGCAAACAATTATCGACATTTGTTAGTAGTTAGTAATGAGTTTATAATTAGTCATTGGCTTGAGGTTGAGCTAGATTAAAGTTATAATCCTTAAGATTTTATTCTTGGTTGAACTGGTGAAAAGTTTTATGAATTATAACATTAAAGGTTCCACTAGTTATTACCACGGCCAGGTTTTGGACTTAAAGTAAAGACTGAATTGGAGATCTAGTTTTCTGTTTTGGTATTTATGTCCCTTTGCTGATGTTGTTTTACTTTAGCCTGACGCATGAGTAGATGTGAGCCTAATCTCTTTGCCACTTCTCCCATACCTCATTCATTGTCATGTGTTATGTGCATATTTGTATTAGCTTTCACATTTGCACTTTTTTTTTTTACACACAAATGTGATGTTTTTTTTTAAGTATATATTAATGTTGTCAGTGCAATTGTAACTTTCCTTTTATTTTACTTATTATGAAGGCACATTTAAAATCATTCATCATGATGTCCATTGTCCTGCAGGGACCAGAGTTGTTGTATCAGTGTTACGCATAAAAAAAAAAATATATATATTTCAAAGGAAAATAAAGGCCAATTTTACACCAAATGTTACAACTGTGGCCATAATCATTGTGTATGACACATATTGTTGTAAATTAGGAGGTTAAAAGAAAATTTAGTGAACCTCAATGTGTAAAGTGGGTGTACAGTGAATGAATGTTGATACCAATAAGCTTTACTTTGATGATGTCCCCTTTTTTCACAGCTTTGGTTAACGTTTCAAAGTCAAAATTTTTTGTTGCTCTCGATCCTATGAGTTCAAAATCTTCAGGTATGTTTATTTCCTTTTGCTCGGAATCACGGGGCATCTGTCACCTCAGTTATTCCTTGCCTTTTAACCATTTCGAGGTTCAAGGTCGCTTTTATTGTGTTGTGAAAGAGAAGGTTATCTTGGATTGAAGCCATCTGCGTCAAAAACACGGCTTCCACATGACATCAGGGTCAAAATGCATCTAGAGTAGAGCCGTTCCCTCCTCCTAATGCTCAGCTCACTGGTCTGTGTGGTTTCACTTTCCTTTGCAGTAATCCCTGGCTCTGCACTGAGTAGGTCCTCAACCCTCAAGCTTTGCTAAGGGACCGGCCATTGTGGGTACTGAGTACCTCAAATGTGACCAGAGACTTTGTGGACACCATCCACCAGGGTTTCTTAATCATTACCTGCTCAGTAATATGGGTTAATGTGTATTCATTGTTTCACTGCTGCTCTAACCTCACCTTGAGCAATCTAATTCTTGCTTTATTGCCTCTGCTTATGCTTATGTGTGTATTGTTTTGTGCTGTGACTAACATCCTTTTCCAGTTGTGATGGAGATTTACATGCACACTTGTTCTTTTGTTGTAATAATTGAATGGCACATTTACTTTTAGATGAACCACGGACAAGTAGACAGTCATAGACTCAAAGCATATCCTACCAGATTTATTCACTCTTATAAAAATTCACACAGCATTGTCAGTGGGCACAATATCTTCTCATTATTAATGCTTGATGTATTGTTTGAATGACTGTAGAACCATAGGGATTTTACTACTTGTTTTTGTATTTATGATCAATTTTCTCTCTGATATCAGATGCACTTCTAATTCTTTGACTCTGGCCCTTAAGTTTTTATGAGCGTTTCTGCTTTGCCAACTCCTCTAACTGCTGGCTTTCTTTCTCTTTGTCTCTTCAGCTTCTTTTAATCTGTCTTGACCACCTGAAGAGGGGATTGCAACTTCAGCAAGAACTAAGCACCCTTTACCTCTTCCTGTTTTTCTCGCTGTATGAACCTTTTATATCCCCCCCGCCCCCATCGCATCTCCTTTTGTTGAATATGGCCTTATGTGGACTCGCATGGTATTTCTGACCACCTAATGAAGCTCTAAACCAGTTTGGCAGGTTGGGAACCGGGCACAGTTTAGATCTGCTATTATGTCTTAATGTATATAAAGCGACTCTTGTAGTTCATAGAAGTCATCAGTGGGGGTTTACACATTTCCAGGACTCATAGGTTGACATCGTTATTTGATCTCTACTTGAAATGAAATTGCAATGATCTGCACTATGCACTCATCTTTTCAATAGGATTCTTAATACAAAGCGCACATTAGAATAAATCGCTACTAAAACATCAAGGCTTGTTGATTAAACAAAAACTCATGGACAGAAGCACTTAATGCACTGTGTGTAATGCGTTTTAAGTATAATGAGTAGACATGTTGCTTTCTTGAATCTAGCTCAGTTAGATATTAAAATCTCCTGCTTTCAGGTTTTCTGAATATCGAAATTAAACAATTAAATTAGAGTCATAATCATGCAAAAGCCAAAGCAATATTTATACATAGCATTTCATTTTATGGTGCCCATGTTTACATGTCACTGTTGAATACCATGGAGGTCACATGTCATGGCCTTTTATTACACACTGTGCTTTAATATTCACAAACCTATTCTATATTTTGCATGCATCTTTTTATTTCATTGCTGCTGTGACCTTTGACCTGCTTGTTTTTATCCCCTATTAACTCAGTTTTGCAGTCTATTTCAACTTCAATTCTGTTTTCTTCAAAATGGTGCATATTATTAATGTATATTTGCTCTGTCCTATGATCTCAGCTCCCATTTTGCCAAATATTAGAATAAGGTGGAGTTGAACTGAATCCCAGATAGGAGTATTAAAAAAAAATACTCATGCATTTATATAATTTATAAGGATATATTTTGTGTATTGAAGTGGAGACTTGTTGTTTATTACCTTTGATCTTTGGACGTGACTGAGTGTGAAGTAACATTTTGGTGTCAGAAAATGCCATACATTTTTCTAGTATCAGTCATCACCTCTTGTAGTCAAAAACTCGCCCACACTACAAATTATTCAGTATCTTACTTTAGTTTGATTCCATTGATGTACATTTTCAATAAAAAATGTGATCCAAACATGTTAAGCCTTTGTCTTTCGTTCACAGTGTAGAAAGCCGGTGGTTGACCCTTCTCGTAATTCTTCGTCATTACCTTCTTTTTGGCAGTTTTAATGTTCAGTCAGTTCAGCAGTTCCTGTATTGTAAAGTATTTATTTAATCTGTGAAAGTAAATCAGGAACAGACAGGAAATCTCGAGATGCATTATTTCTGGCCAAAATGGCACCTCGAATACGACCTTAGAGGAATAAAAGAGAGAAAGCTGACTATAATAAACAGGAAACATTTTTGAATGATGTGTTTGAATCCCTGATATTAATGAGAATTTACATTTTAAGTTTATTTTAAATTATGTGATTTCACCAAACTATTTGAGAATTATAACATGGTTTTATGACTTTTTTTTTTTAGGGGGTGTTAATTTTCTCTTGACCTACATCATGCTGTATAGTATCACTGTATAGTTATTGATTAAGCCACCAAACAGTATAAGTATTGGACCACTTACATTAAAATGTGGCTTACACTTAAATGTATGACAGCAACCCCAAACACACAGCCAGAGTCACAAAGAACAATCTTCAGAGACAAGAAAAACGAGGAGTCCTGCAACAGATGGTCTGGCCCACACACGGCCCTGATCTCAACAACATGGAGTCAGTCTGTGATCATATGTCAGAAGACACTGAGAGAGAAGAACAAGTTCTCCAAGATGCTTGGAACAACCTACCTACCAAGTATTTTGCAAAACTGCAAATGTACAGGAGAATTGGTGCTCTTTAAAAACCAGATAATAAGTATATTGCACTTTGTATGAAGTTGATTGATTAATAAAAATTATTTGAATGCATCCTCATTCTACACAACAACTAAAACTATTTTTACACAGTACTCAGGTAAAGCATCTGAACACTTCTTGGAAATGGAGCAAAAAATAAATAATACAGAATCACTATACGCAGATATACATACTGGCTGTAATAAATAGTACTTAATATCATAACTTTGTGCTGCTCTTATTGTGATGGTTGCTTTCCGTTTTATTGACACTGGTGATACGTACTGTAGCTCGACTGTCGTAGGACAATATTTTGCATATTGCTGCAGTAAGACGTGTGCTGTATGAGCAGTTTCGTTTGTAAACCACATGGGAACATTACACGCGTGAAGTGCACTGACAGCAGCCCGCTCAGCCTGAACTGTCCGGCGGCAAAGCATTCTGGGTCAGTGCGGTGGCAGCCGCCATGACTTTACTATAGCCGGACCAGAAAATGGATGCTTCCTGCTTCTTAGCTGAATAAGCATCTCTATCACTCAGGAGATTTGAACTAGCGGCCTCGGAAAGTCTCCTAAAAAGACACGAATCTGAATGTAAATTTTGTGTAAGAAGCTCAGTCTGATAGAAAACTGTATGAGCGGCTGTGGCTGCTGAAGTTAGCTAGAGGCTAGCTGGCTAATGCTAGCAGGCACCGGGCTAGCACAATAATAATAATACTCATAAAAATAAATGCACTGTCTCTTGCTCAGCTAAAAGACAGCGATATAAGTTGGACCAAAGGCTACACCCGAAGGTAAGAATATGGCACAGCTAAGTAAGGAGACATGTTGACAATTGTAATGTTTATCTTTATAAACGTGTTCGCCTATGAGAGATGGACCCCGTCGGCCTACTGCGTCACTCTGTCCAGGCTTTGTGTTGGCACAAAATGCAGCTGTTTCCCCAGCTGTTAACATGATATTTAGTAAATGTCTAGTAGTGTAATACACATAGTCCAGATACATAGTTTGTATTTCAGTCACAGCATGCTGCTGGCAGGGGGTGTTTGTTTTCTATGAAATGTTTTAGCCTCTATAGGCAGTAAGGAGTGTGAACTTATTATGTCCGGATGTTCGTGCTTGTATATTTCATCCATTCACTTAATACCTGATTTATATCTTTGGCCTCAATAACAGGTATGGCCTGGATTTGATTTGGACGGTGCTGGTGATGGCAGAAGGGACTGACACTGTCGAAATGCCCTCCTTTGACCCAAGTCCTAGTTCTGAAGCAAAAAAGAGACCTACTTCTTCTGATGGCAGTGAGTGTTGATCTGATCTCTCTACATCTTTATATCCAAATATGCCCAGAAATATTTTATGTCACATTTCTGAATCTGCTTAAACGTGAAGGTTTGCCAGGCTCACAAGCAGCAGCAGCAGCAGCAGTAATATGAGTTGAGAGGTTTAGTCAACAGTTTTCTCCAGTATAATTTGTGTAGCACATTGTGTGGTTTAGTGCAAATCACAAGACAAGACAATTCAAATGTATATTACTTTATTGCCATGTCAACACCGTTGATTGGAATTTTGCAGCTCTTACAACAGACAAGACAGAAATATTCCCAGATAAATGTAAATAGTAAGTCAATTTGAGACTAATGCACATTGGAAATGAAAATGATGAAAAGTAACAATAAAACCACATAAAAAGTTTCAAAAAATAATAATGATCATTTAAATATAATAAAATAAAATCAGATCAAATATGATGAGAGGGAATAGAACATTTTAAAATGATCAAATAAAATAAATAATGACCATAAATAAAGGTAAGGTTGGCAATATTGTATATTTTTGTTATTGTCAAGAAATCCCAAGAAGAAGAAACAAAATCACAAGTGTTTGTTTGTCTCTTCATACCTCCCGACTCCTTCATCCTGTCTGTGGCTCTCATACATACTGAAGATATAAATCTCTAAAAATGGGCCACAAATACAAACTTTGATTTTGATGTTATATAATGTCCTTGAATAATGGGGCACTGTTGTTTTTTGCAAGAGAGGAGAAATTTTAGCTGCAGATTTGGTGCTCTACTGAGTATTTACAGCAGCAGAAGGTTTTATGTGGGAATGACTTAAATTGAACTACAGTGCTAATGTTGATCATAATGAAGGAACAAGTCACCGAGTATATCCGTGTGGCTTGTTTTTGTGTCTCTAGTAGCTTTTGGACAACAGTGCAGGTCTATAACACACAGCAATATGACAATACAATACAGACTATCACCAGATCACTATCCTTCATAGGCTCAGATATGTATCACCTGACAGGATGGGATATAAATGTACATTCGCTTCCTCTATAATTGGGGATGACTGAGGAGGCAAGTGCTTTTTAGTCTATCAGTGCCCACTTTACAGTCTTTGATGTGCCTGCCTACTTAAGAAACAAGGCCATTAACTTATATCATAACATCCTGTTTGAAGAAATGACTGAAATCCCACTCTGAAACAAGTTTCATGGAACTTCTATCACATTGTCAATTGACTAATCTTTAAGTGCCATAAGTCAAATCAAACATCCTTTCAGGTTTTCTAACGGTTTACCTTTGTGATTTCCTTGTAGAAGACGAGCCCATGAGGAAAATGCCTGTGTCAAAATTTGGTTCCAGACCTCGGTTTGAGCCTGTTCACTTTGTCAGTGGTGGAAGCAGTGGAGGAACCGGCACTGATGAGAAGGAGAACGATAAGGAGCGCAGGAGGAGCGAGTCGTACGGTGTGAGACAGTGGGACTCTGAACACTCCTCCTACAGCAGCACCAGCAGAGCACAGGGCTCCTCCTCCCTGAGGCCCGCTTTTGACAGAGTGCCATCGTACAGTTCTGACTCTTGGGGTTCTCATAGAGATAGAGACCGGGACAGAGACAGAGAGTTTTCTTCGGGTAGTACTAGTGGCTTAGGTTATGGAGGACGTGGCTCCACTTCAAACTTCATGGCAAAAACACAGCAGGACTACACAGTCAAGTATGAAGGCCACACCTCTCGAAGTTCAGACTCTTATTCTCAGCCTCATAGGTACAATGGATATGGGGGAGCGAGCAGATCAGGAGGCTGGGATTCAGGACGTCAGGGTTTGGGGTACGGTTATCAGGACCGGCCATCATCAAGCAGGCCGTTCAGCAGAGTCTACAACAGCCCGGGCAGGAGCAGTCCTACCACGACTCAGTCGAGCTCTACATCGCAGCCTCTTCCAATATCTCAGTCAACATTAGATGATAAGCAAAGGCTGATTGCCAATGTAGCATCTGCATTGGCTGTTGCTTTTAGGGACCCTATGTTTATGACTGGAAGTGACTCGCCAAACTATAATTTCATGTTGAGCCGCAGCATTCAGGCCTGCAAGACCAACCCTGAGTATATTTACGTCAACCTGAAGGATATTCCTCAAGCTGACCTACCGAAGAACAGGAAAGTACCGACAGATGGTTATGCCTGTGAACTGAGATGTCAGGGTGTGTATCTTGCTACCGGATACTCTGGCAGTAAAAATGGAGCAAGGGACAGAGCCTCTGAGCAGGCTGTAAAACTCTTCCTGAAACCAGTCGAAGTTCGTGTCGTGCAGCGCAAATACAGACACTCAATAGTCAATGACATGGTTGTGTGCCAGATGCACAGCCCAACCCCGGCTTTTTTACCTGCGCTCCGCAACCCAGAGGATAAACCGACGCCCAGCTCTAAGGGCCAATACGAGCCTGACAAACGGAAGCACTGGACAGAGTTTGTGGTTATGGACAATGCTCATGACGCCATCTGCATACTCAACAACTCTGCGGCTTTTAATCGCATGAAGATAGACTACAAGTTTGACCTTCTCCCCAACAACAGTGCTTGGTTGTGCAGCGTCTTTCTGCAGGATGAGTTGGTGGCGCAGTCAACAGGCACTAAAAAGAGCTCAAAGCATGCGGCGGCTGAAGAGGCGGTGAGAAAACTTCGCATGAACCAGGCACAACGACAACAGCAGCAGCAGCAACAGCAGCAGCAGCAGCAGCAGCAATATCAACAGTCACAATACTCCAGAGGAAATAACCAGTCAGATTCTGGTGGACGCTTTGGGCAACAGAGTGGCAAAAAGAAGCATTTGAGCGAGTTGGTTATCTTGGAAAACTCTGACAATGCTATCTGTATCATTAATGACACGGCACAATTTAATAAAGTGACAGCGGATTACAAGTTCACCGTTCTGCCTGATCATCGCTGGAGGTGTGAAGTTTACTTAGAAGGACAGTATGTGGCTGCAGGAATTGGGCCCAAGAAAATAGTGAAGCACATTGCAGCAATGGAGGCTCTGGCCACCTTGAGACAGACGCAGGCTGTGGTCAAATCCAACCTCAGAAAGGAGGGTCACAGCGATGCCATATCCCGGTCCCAGATCCTGGCTCGCTCAGGTGAGGAGGCCACAAGACAGGAGATAAAGGAAGACAATATCGGAAACCAGCTGCTCCGCAAGATGGGCTGGAAGGGCGGCGGTCTGGGCCGAGACGGTGAAGGCATTGCAGAACCAATCAGAGTGAAGGAGCAGTTTTCTAGAGAAGGATTGGGTATGGACACGGACAAACCTGGAAATCAGCTCAGCAAGCGTGATATTGAGGACATCATTCGTAACTACGCCAGTTCAGACCGTCAGGATGACCTTCGCTTCTCCACTGACCTCACCAACGATGAACGCAAACAGATCCATCAGATATCTCAGAAATACGGTCTGCGAAGCAAGTCATACGGACAAGGACGGCAACGGTTCCTTGTTGTCAGTCGCAAAGTACACAAAGACCAGCTCATCGGTCAGCTTTTGCAGGAAGGACAGGTGGGACGATATGAGCTCGTGAAACCTCAGGCTTCTCACTAATTTGCATGCAAAGCAAAATGGGACAGAAAGGCAAAAAAATGTCATTGGCTTGGACTTCAGAGCAAATCACATTCAAGTGTAACTCCTGTTTATACTTGTGTGTGACAAATTTACAACACACGTTAACAAATGAGAATCTTTCAGGTATCACCTGTGGTTTCTGCATTCCTTTGCCATGAAATGTACTTTAGCTTTAGCAGGAGCTGTAGGATAAATAATTTAATGTCTTTTTTTTGTCTCCTGCCATTCCACGTCCTATTTGTTTCACATTTGCACAAGCTTGTGTTCTGTGCTTTGTGGTATCATGTCCAGATGATGCTCCAGTTATTTCATGAATTGAAAAAATGACTTAACAATGTTTTTGTCACCAAAATTATTTTTTTGTTTCGTGGCTATTTAAGGAACCAGGCAGAACATGCAGCTTTTCACTGCTCGTGAGTGAACACTGTAGACAGTTGACTCATGAAAGACAAGGATTAGAGGCATTTTTATCAAACTGTAGCTAGGTGCTCATACCAGTCTCACTGTAGTGATACATCTCTATTCAGAAATACCTGCAATGTTGTTTGCTCTTTCAACACCTGGGATCATTCTACAAGTACAAGCTGCATCCATGACGTGAAAACCTTCACATGGAAACTGTAAGCTGTGATCTTTGTTAAATGTCAGATGTGTTGGTTTGTGTGAGTACAGTTAACTTGTCTGCTTGTTTTCACAGCTGTAAAATCTGAATAAATTAAAACTGATCAACAGGCTGAACTTGGTTCAGATGGATATTTTTGTACTGCAAGTTTAAAAAAGAAACAAAGACAAATGATGTATATTTATTTTATTTACAAGAAAATGTACAGTTTGTTACATGGGTTACCAGTGCAAAGTTTTATAATCTGAAAAGAGACACCATCCTGTTTAAACAGTACAATCAGCTCATTATGAGAGCTGGTTTGTAAGATTGTAAAATAGCATAAAAATGTTCTCACACAGCCTTTAAATGTCAGCATTATGAAACTCTGTGCATGAAACAAAGTTAAGTGCCCAGAAAGGGTACTTAATGTCTTGTTTCAGTGTTGAAGAGGGACGTACATGTTCACCAATATCTAGAACATTTTTGAAATACAAGGCATGGGTTTACAAGTACAGTTGAGAGAAAGGCATCTGTTGAGTTGACAACTTGTTAGAGGGATGGATGCCAATGCCAGGTTTATTTTCAATCCCACTGAAAGGCTTTCAAAAGGCAGAAAGAAATAAAACCAAAAGGAGTGAGCCCACTGAAACAGGAGGAAAACACCCATGAACAGCTTTGTTTTTTTGTTTTTTTTTGTTGTAAATATTAACTGTTGTATCTACACAGCAAACCACGCAGCAAGCACATCTAATTAACTGTCACCAAATCATCCAGCCAGTTTAAAAAAACAGGTAGAAAAGTGACAACTGAGAGACCGGCCATTGCCTTTTTTTTTTTATTTTTTAAAAAAAAAAGGAAAGACTTGGGGCATGTAGCAAGTAACCCAGATATAACAAGGTACATTAACTTTTAACAAACATACGCTATTGCCCAACAATAGCATCCGGCAGGAGTGAATGCCACAACACAACAGCATACAAACTTAGCAACAATTATGGGACAAATATACTGAGAAGGATTTTAAGATGTGTATCTTTATTTCTGTGAGATCAGTTGTTTTCTTGATCGGTGGTTTCTTGATTCTGGGCTGGACACTGTTCATACTTGAACTTTAACAGGGGTCAACAGTCACGCCAACTCTGTTCAACAATAGCAGAAACCCTCTTCTCGTATTCCCGCTTGTTTTCCTGGTACAGCTGGGCTGCTTGGCTATTAGCTGGACTGTTTGGGTTTGGCTCATCCAGTAAAGACTTTAAATATACAACAGAGAATGTCGGTGGGGTCAGTTTCTAGTAGTTTTAGTACATAATACAGACATTTCAGAACTGGACAATCATCACATGTATAGATTACTTGGTTGTGGATGTTTTTCTTTGTCACTACAAAACGGACACTTCTTAATTTGCATTTGTACATGACGTGTTTATCTGCATAAAGGAGTATTAAATTACCTGTATTGAAGTTAAGATTGAAGACACATCATAGGTTGGACTCCAACGGTTCTGAAGTATATCTAAGCATATGCTGCCATCTGCATACACTGAAAGAGCATACAGAATATAAACCTTTTTTTAGACAGGTGATACAGAAAACAAGTACATATCCACATTTATCATTTTTAATTGCTGTAATTAATGTTGTTAGAGCAATTATCCACCCCAGGCAATGAAGTACATACCATTTGGATGAAACATTTTAGAGACAAATCGCACTGTTGGAGGTTTATTTGGATATTCCTCTGTGAATTCAATGGTAAGTTTGAAGGTTCCTAAAAGGGAGAAGTAATGGTATTGTATGAATTGAAATACATAACACTGCATTACAGTAATAAAGCCAAATAGAAAATGCCTGTATCAGTTTGTCTATCTGGTTGTTTTGGTGATGTTTTCAGTGGTGAGAAAGAGTGTGTCAACCCTTTGGAATGACCTGGTTTACTGCATTAATTGGTCATAAAATGTGATCTGATCCTCATCCAAGTCACAAAGGTAGACACCCACAATGTTCTTAAGCTAATATCACACAAGCAATTTAAATCTTATGTTCCTCTATTGAATTTGTTCAAAAGCACAGATTCCATCTGATCCATGTAGGAGACCTGGTCAGTAGTTGAATCAGGTGAAATCAAGTGAAAAACTCTCACCTGATACATTCTGATACAAAGCACCAGCTAAAGTCTATTCAACCAGATCCATTGCTACAATGCAACTTCCAAAAGCAAATGCTTTGAATCATTAATATTTGATGGATTAATGTGAGAGCAGGGTTTGAAAGACATATATTGCTGGAGGATACATATTTGGATGTAAAGTGCTATAGAGAGGACTTACCATCCTCAAAAGGTGTTCCCTCCGGTCTAAAAGACAGGAAATAGACAGGTCTTAGATCGACTAGCAAAAAGCTCATATGAACTTTTCATATACTTTAAAATACTCTGAGAACCTGTTGACATAAACTAGACTGTCCAAAGACAAGCAGTGAATACTTTTGCAAATTACATACTGTAAATACAAATCAGTTATTTATTAAAATATCTACACCCATCTGTCAGTGTTTAACAAATCCACTTAACTTACCCAAAAATGACAGCGTTCCATACCATGATATTATTTTCTGATGGGGCCCCACTAACTCCAGCTGGAGGATCCTCTTGCAGTCTAACAGATCCAGTAAAAGCAGAGTGGTATCACAAACAGAGCATTAAGTATAGAAATTAAACCCATTACACTACTAGACACAGTGTCATTCCCCTGTTATGTGGTCAACAGAGTAGGTAATCAATAATATCAAAAAGTAGGAGTAAAGCTTGTACACATGAGCAAACAGCAAAAGCCTGTTGATTATTAAACAGGAATGCAAACCCTAAGTTGTATGTCTAAGCATATTGCATATTTAACATTAGATATTTTTGAATGACAAACACTCTATCAGGACTTACAGCTACAGCTTATCTTGCAGACTTTATAAGACCTTTTCATACCATACAGAATGTAATTTAATACATGTTTTCATAGTCATGTGAAGGTATGAAGATGTAAATAAAAACCAGTGGGGATAACAAGGACTATAATAGTTTTGTTTATTATTTTGCTGACATTTATTATCACCTTTTTGGTCAGTACTTCCCAGCTACATATACATTTAACTCTTAAAAATGTATCAATTAAATCATAAAACACAACCTCAATTAACAGTCAAAAAACACATAAGTAATAAGCAATTAATAAGCTATTAAATCAAGTTTTGCTAAAATCACAGACAAAAACCTATATTTAAACTTTAGGCGGGCAAAATATTTAAGATCAATGAAATTTAAGACTAGTTTTGTATATTTTCTGATGCTTTTTACTTTTAAATACTCTTTAAGACTTTCCAAGACATGCAAATATCCTGTACACGTTATTAAATAGATAGATCTTGGATATCCACCTGGACTATTTGTTTTTGTAATCACAGATCAATCATACTGAAGCAATATTGTAAAGTGGTAAAATAATTAGCATTGTCTAATTTAGTGAAAATGAACGATGCCTTTATCTGCGTGGTCATTATAACTCCATTCCTAATGATTGTTTAGCAAAGTTTTGTCCATTAGTAACATTGCTAAAAAATACTATGATGGTTGAGTTTGACAGTGAGCCGCCAAGGATTAGGTTATGGACTCTGTGACCACCAGCACTGGTGAGCTCGAACATAGTGTGGATCAGGGATAAGAAACCATGTGCCACAGTTGACTTTGCTGAGTATCTGCAAGTTTTGAGTGACTGCATGGCAGATGGCTGCTTATCCTCAGGCTTAGACAGTGATATATCAAGGTCCGGGGATAGGAGATCCCTGGATCAGGGTGTATTTGGAAAGCTAACATCTACCGAAACGTTTCATCTGGCTGTGAAAGGCCATCTGGCCAATGACTTAAGCTACATCTTTAATCGCCACTTACACATACATCCCACAGAAATCATACATGAGCACAGCCATTAGCTGTTTCGTGGAATGCCCCGGCAGAAGTGATTATGTTAGATATAATAAACAGTTATAAACATAAAGAAGCCAGCAGTGAGCATAAGTTACACAACGTTTCGTTAATATTCCAGGCTGCCTTGCTTACGCTGGTGTCAGCGCCCAGTAATGTGAACAATTAGCGATACCTGTCAATAGCTTAGTAGTCATTAGCTAGTTAATACTACCCAAATTAGCAGTAAGTAAACTCGGCGATGATAAAATCACGAATATAATCCGCCAGTGTTTATATATCTGTGAATTTTTTTTGATTGTGCTGTAGTTTATATTGCCGTTTAGGCTAACGCTAACAAGCTAGCCTCAGGTTGGTAAGGTTGGCCACAGCCACTTCTGTTGTTTTCCTTTCGCTTACCGTTTAAAATCTCTCATTAAACGTCGTCTTGCTGGAGTTGACATCCTGTTTACACGCAAACCTAAATCCTTGGCATAAACGTCAGCGGCTCAAGTGTAGGGAAATGTGTTTTTTGACGACGTATTATTTCAACTCCTAGCTGGCTAGCTGACGATTGCTAGTTTGTCAAATATTTGGCTGCCTTTGCTAGTCTAAGGGTGCTACCACTTCCACTAGAAGGAGGGCATTAACGTCAAGTGACTCTAAATCAGTGAGCTGTATAGCCACATTAACACGGACTAACAGTATCACTGGGCGTGGTTTTGTCAAGAATATGTGTTTACTTCTGTAAACCAATTTAACGTTGATGTAAACCAAGCTAGAATATGTTTTATGTAGTTGACAAGACCCGGTCTCTACACTTGTATCATTCCAGCGAAAATTACGTCATGTGTTTAGCACCCATATTTAGTTTTTCTGTACACGTCAAATATTTTTGTGTTTTCAAGGTTTTATCCGTTTCTTCATCCTTAAATCCATTTTTATCTTTGCCTATTTATCGATAAATCCAATCTTTAGTTAGTTAATTACTTTTGGTAAAACCCGTGATTGCTAGTAATACAAGGTATTTATGGCTGACATCCTGATTTCAAGTTTACAGTAACATTAAAAGACCACTAGATGGTACCTACAACCCTATAGTAAATGAATATGCCACACCAGTTATGACATGGTCACCTTAAATCTATCTTGAAAGTACGGTTTTACCCCTTTTCATTTTATTAATAAATAATAGCAACAATAAACAAGAAAGCCATGGGTTGAGACAGAAATAATACATTTCAATGAAAGTATCACAGCGAACAAGAATATGAAATAAAATATTGAATAAAGCACATACATTTAACGTTTTACAAGCTTTCTTGTTTTGAGAGTACTGCATTAGACTGCATTAGTTATAGCTCGGTGTACTTAATAAGCTGAAAATAGAGTTTATATAACAAGAAGAACAACAGTAAAATAAAATTAATGTCTTAACATTTTCTTTATTCCTGTCAAACATTAGGGCATCAGAAGGGATATAAATTTGGAAATGCAGATGACAAATATAGTTACGATAATGAGATATAACGTGACTTTTTGAGAGTTTTAGCAACTTCCCATATGGTCTAGCGGTTAGGATTCCTGGTTTTCACCCAGGCGGCCCGGGTTCGACTCCCGGTATGGGAACTTCCTCTTTTGTCCAAAACTATAAACATCAACGACAATTAGTCTTTGATGTAGCAATACACTAAACATATATCATATTATCGCATCTGGTAGCACATAATTACCGCCAAAATGCCGTGTGTTTTAGCTGTCGGTTATTTGATACAGCTTTCACCAACATGCAGTCATAATTTCCAGGGAATCTACTGCAGACCCCGCCCTCCTAGGAGTTAACCTCAATTGCTCTCATCTCACCAGGGCTTGGACATTCCCGTAAGATTCCTATTCCCATTAAAATCTCCTACTAATCGTAGTCTCATGTTGTACAACAAACTCCATCGTGATCTTGCACAACGGACTTTCTTTTTTCTTCTCTTTGTCTGCAACTTCATTTGACTAGATCGTGTTGAGCTGTTTGTTTGCCGGTAAAGCCACACCTGTTACCGCGTGACGGTTTACTAAATATTAACCGTCAGCCACCCACTGTCGCTTAGATACCCAGATCGTTTAACAGTTTTTAATTTACTGTGCAAAATCCATTCAGCAACTGATGGTAGATTACACTGCTCACGTATGTACTTTTTAAGCAATGGGATATGACGCGGACACTAAACAACTTTTTTCATAACGTCTTTTAGTCCACCATTGTCCCTCCATGCTTATTGCTCAACACCAAACCCTGTCCTGAATCCTCTGGTCTTGCTTAGTACCACCAGGCTACAGCCAAACTTTGGTCCGGGCCAATCATTTCCCAGGAAAATGTGACTGCTAGGAATTCCCCACGCATCAGCCCCTGTCGGAGAAAACTGCAACCTAGTTGTCAGGAAGCACACGAAAGCAGCGGGAGGGGGAAGCGGACCGGCGACTGTGCGGTGATGATGATGTAGCTACAGCACCGTTTTGTCTCCAACTGGCACCGAGGATAATAATGTTTTTCTAACATCGCCGTGTTTCACGAGGACAGCCACTTACCGACTGTTTGAGTCCAGGAAATATGTTCTGCCGATGAAAACTGTTTACAGGGTAAGTCAACTGAGTGTTTTTAAAAGCATGTTTTAATACTTGTTACTTTCTTGTAACTATAACTTAACTTGTATCTTTATGTCTTGTAATTTCTAACATTTCTTTTGTGGTTATTTTAGGGTCTAAAAAATAAAAACAATTTTTTAGCTTCTTATCTGAAATAATAATGACTTTTAGCAGATGATACATTCATACTGAATATCCTACTAGAGGCCTTTCGTTGCACTTTGCCAGTATGACACACTTAGTTGTTAAAAGTAAGGTTAGTACTAATGCTACAACTTAAGAGGCATGACTCAACTCATATGATGTTAGCCGTAGCCGCTGGGATACACGCAGGCTTTGCTTTGCCTGCTACTCAGTAGATTATAGTGACTCCCCTTTGTGTCAGTCAACCGGCATGTGACTGCACTGATGGCGTGTGTGTGTGTGTGTGTGTGTGTGGGTGTGCGCGCTTGACAATTTGAACAGATCATATAGCAGACACAATTATACGAGGAATGCAATTGCAGTTTTCTGTAAGTAGCTGTGTTTAAGTGGATTCATTATAGCTCTAATGGTTGATATGAACAGAGAGCTTTCATTTTGTCATCCATTCTCAGAAATATGGTTTTGACCCCATGTCAGGGATGTTAGCTGTGGCACTGGCTCCAGGATTGTGTTTACAAAATGTCTATGTACTGTATAACTGACCACTGAGAACAATATATTTCTTTTTGGTACATCTTCTGCCTCAGACTAGAGTTAATTGGTATCAAAACTCAAATGACTGGTCTACTAACCCATTAATCAATCCATAGAAAATGTATTGCAACAATTTTGATAATGTAATGGAATCATTGGTAAGCAAAAATACCAAAAAATGGATTATCGTTTGGTTTTTGGTCATTGGTTGAATGAAACAAGCTACTATTTAAATACATAAACTTGGGCTCTCGGAAACTGTGAACTGTGAGAAAATAAGTTGCAGACTTAGATGATCTGTCTCCACAGTGTATCCACCTACTCCACTGAAGCAGCCTCAGACTGAGAATATCCACTAAAATAGAAGAGAGCTGCTTTGGGCACGAATCTCAAATCCTCATTGGGATCTCTCTGATGAATAAATATGAATGAATGTTTACTGCTTTTCTCAATTTCTACAAATATATGTTTGTCATGTTTGACAGAATAGTGTTTTTATTGTTGATCAAACCAATTCTGTGGCAAGTCTAAATGTTTGCCAGATGTTTACATTTTTGGTCTGAGATGCTTGTATCATGGGACAGACAAACACAATCTCATTGGTCGACTGCAGTAGCTCCCTTCAGAGGAGGCGGCCGTGACGCAGAGGGAAAGGGAGAGTTACGAGCTTTGAGCTTGTCAGACCAGCTGGACCCACCAACCCTTCACCCACCCTCTCTCCCCTCCCCTTCAGTCTTCCCATGGTGGGAACACTGTCAGAGGCTTGTGGATAATTGGAAACTTCAATCCACTGAAAGCAATTATTCAGAACAAGACTTTCCAAATATACTCCAGTGTGGAGTCGTCTTGTTTGTTTCAAGCATGTGCCATTGCTTTAGAGACCTCATCCTGCCATGCTTCTGCCCACACATTCAGCCTCTCTGTTGCCCTTTTCCTCTCTGCTTTGATAGCTTTAATGTTGCACAGGCTTTGAGTGATATGGTCAATTGTGCTTGCGTGTGCATGTGTGTGTGTGTGTGCGCTCTGCAGACAGTGTGGTTGAGGCTAAAGCAGTTCCCGGTAGCCTTCTCATCCTGTGACAGTGATGTCACTATCACCAGTCTGAGCAGCTGAGGAGTGTGATGATGACCACGAACAACAATGGAGAGCTGTTCTGTGATCCCTTTAGTAATGACGAGCTCCTCAGACATTAGACACTTCTTCTTCTTGTCCAAGATGTACCCGCCTGCCTTAATGGGCTGCTGAATATTGATTTGGCTACACAAAAAGAAGAACTGAGCTTTTATCCTATTTAGAAAGCAGCACTCCAGTTTCACAAAAGCTTTCAGAGTGGCCTGGAAAGAGAAAGGGAATCCAGCGGTTTACATCCCTGCAACAGCGATATCAGAGCTAATATGATGTTGTTTTACCCAGAGCTTTAATGTTAAGTGCCCACACGTGCACCTACAAGTAAAGTTTACCTGCTTACTAACTCCTGCAAGCTTAAAAAGAGTGTGATGACATCTTTACATCAAGGTCCTTTCTTCCTAGGTGTAAATTAACATGATTTGGTGCTGACGAAATAACCACAAGATGGCAATGTTCATATGCTTTGACTAAACAAACAATCATATGAGATGGCTGAAACCTGAAATGACTTGCATAAATGCAGGAACCGACTTGTGAAAAGAGAAATAGAACTGTTGAACTTCCCCTTTTTTACATGTAGAAAAGTACCCAGTGTTGGCCTGTTTTCTGTTGAGGGCTTGCAGGGGAACTGCTGTTTGCAAAGTTCCTTAATTGTACGCTGCTGGTCCACCACCCCAGGCTTTCGACACCTGAATATCACCTTGTCAGACATGTTTGATTGCTAGGCAGCAGCGGCAGTAAACCGCTGCCACTGGACATGACGTCAGAGAGAAAGGCGAGATGAGGGAAATTCCACCTGTAACCTCATTCTTCTCTCATGCTGCCTGTCTCACAAGCATGTGACTTGGACGGGCCGTTATGGCTTAGTTCTCCATGAATCTGTGTGTTGTCATGATGTGATCCAGTGTTTAAACTGTCAAACTATGTTTAGCATGTAAATTAGAACAACTTGACTTGAGTTAGTTAGTTATGAAATCAGTCCATTCAGGATGTGGGCAGTAAACTCTGATATGAACTATGCAAACAAACAAAAATTGCTAGTCTGATGCATCATCGTAATACTGTCTTCAAAGATTAATTTATTCAGGAATCATGAAATTACAAAATGAGGCGATAATAAAGACTTTGTGTTGATAATCAAGCAAGAATAGACCATATTCAAATAGAAGTTTCACAG